CATCAAACCAGTAAGCACCACCATTACCATACTAACTTGAGTAGATCAACAAACCATGATCAATATTGAACGAAGAATTAGATCCTTGATCTAATTCATTTCTAGCAATAATATATATATAAAGAGAAAATGATAGAAAAGAATTCTGAAACACACTCAAACTAGTTATCCATACAACTCATATGCAAGGGACTTAAAACCGATTTTAATTTCGAATGATACCGCCTATAACGGGTAGTATGTACTAGTCCACCAGCAGACCGGTATGGGGGCCGCTCACTACTGGGCAGTACCATTGATCTAGCCCGGTATCGGACGATACGGGGCTGTATCGGGCGGTGACGATCGATTTCGACCATCGTCGCCCGATACCGGGCGGTATCAGCCTGGCTGCGGCGAGGGAAGAAGAAACGTCGAGGGAGAAAATGGAGAAGGCGCTCAAAGAAGAGGGAGAATCGGGAGAACCTCGACGCTTCCCGATCCGACACCACCCACCCTCGACGATCCCGATCCAGGAGGTAACGGAGAGGCAACGACTCGGCTTCTACTTCGCCACGTTCTTCGCCAAAGGCCGGAGACGCCTGCAGCCTTCGTCGCATTCTTCGCCGAAGGCCGGAGACGTCTACGACCTTTGACGTCTTCGCCGAATGCCGCAAATGAGGAGAAGACACGACAAGGAGAAGAAAAGGAGGCAACGTTGCCGAGGCAATGTACGCCTCCCTTTTTATTTTTTATATTATTTTTATATAGTGATTTTTATTTTTTATATTATATTATATATATATATATATATATATATAAATATATACCGAGCGATACACCCGTACTATACCGTACCGTATCATGCAAAGCTCGAAACGTCAATACAGTACGAAATTACAAACCTTGCTTAAAACTATTGTTTTGGATAAACAATAGAAGAATACTGATAACCATACAAAAGAATATTGGTATCGGTCCGTAGGGTACAATTGAAAAACCAGTTTGCTTACCACCTGGTAAACCAGATGCAGTGAGCTTACTGTGCTGAAAAACCATATTGGACCGAACCCGACAAAATTGCCTGATCTATGTCCTAATTGGCCATTGAGATGGCAAATACTGCCCCATACCAGCTAGTACAGGTGTTAGGTGGTATTTTAAAACTTGGTATTAATTATCAAGAATCCAAATATTAGCATATAAGTCTTTCAACGCTAGAAACAGTAAATACAATTTAAAAGCAACGGTCATGGTGTATTTTCTATATGAGAAATTTCTTTAAAGATTGAGAACTAGAACAAAGCAATATAAGACTGCTAAGAAAAACCAAAGTTGGAACTTGGGACATCACAGCTTCTTGTTATCGAAGAAGATGCAGTAAAAGGTTCGGATTCATTTATAAGGAGGTGAACTAAAAGGCCATGCTAACAATGTCAATGCATGTGTTAATATTAAAATTATCAAGTCAGGCTCTATTCTTTTTCAGAAAACAATAATGCTTCCAAATGAATTCAACAAAAATTGTTTGGCAGCAGTGATCCTACCTCAACAGGAGTTGCTAACACTAAGAGATATTGGATAGCTTCAACAAAAATTCCAGACTTCGATTTAGCAAGCCCAACAGCACAAATAGCTTGTTCATCAGCACTATATTCAGGGCATTGTCCATCCCTTACAATAAATAAAAACTTAGAATTAATATAAGATTTAAAAAAAGCATGCACAAGTATACATTGTTTTAAGGACCATAACAAGAACTAATTGGTCATATCAACAAAGATTTTGCCCACAATTTAGTCAAAAACTTCGTAAATTGTCATGCTATGCAGACATGACTGTAGCATATAAAAACTTGGTAAATTGTCATGCTATGTAGACATAACTGTAGCATATAACAAAATGATCCTGCCGATAAGATCTCTGTAACTTGACAAAGTTAACAATACATGAATTTCCAAAATGATAACAAGGATAGTAATGTTGATTAGTGAAATAATCTGCATTCATAACAGTTAGAAACAAATGGGACAGACATTTCGTGACCAGCCCATATCATAATTACAAGTAATTAGTTACATGATGCAGCACTAGAGAGCCCAAAAAACAAATATTATGGTTACTAAAAACAAAGTAGATTGTCGAACAAATATAGAGGATTAACTTTGCCCTTGTGATGCTTGTTTGGCCCGTCTCCCCCTCCCCCTCCCTACCCCCACAAACCAAAGTGGTGTCTCAACTCTCAAGTGTGCCCTTCAATAACAATTAACTTTTCCATTGTCATCCTTGTTGGGTCAAGAACCTTTTCCTTCTCTCCCCTCCCTTCCCCCCCCCCCCAAAACCAGAAGGGGCACCTTGAGTATGACTCCAACAACAATTTCTAAAATGAAGTCAAAATTTTCTTAAATTAAATTGAATTTTCTTGACATGTTCACAGAACTAATGAATCCTGACTGGGATTTGACATGGAGATAAAATACAAAAAATCAAAGATATATTGGTGAATGGAAACCTTACCACTTATCAAAGCGCCAAAGAAACAGGGAATTGTCAACTGATGCCCAAGCTCTTCGAATCTCAGAAAATATTCCACACAGTGCTGTTCCTTCACCACCAGATGCATTATATCTTTCAATTAGCAGAGAAGGTAACTCCCGAGTCTCCACCACTTCAACTAAAGGAGGCCACTACAATAATATTCTTGTTAAAAGGAAAAGGAGAGCAACGGCCTGAATACCAGAGATATATTAAAGAAAGACATAATACACATACGGGAAAACCAAGAGATGACAATTTCCTTCTATCATTTTGTTAAATCATCAGGTGTAAACAACCAGGTCAATGTGTACAAATGTGTAAAAATACTCAAAAAAAGCAAGAGAACCAAAGAGTCTGGATGTCAAGAAATATGAATTGGTGGGAGAAAGACTTTCAGGAGTCACTTGGCTCACGAAAGTACGGTAGAAATGTTATATTTTTTTCTGTGAATCACTGATACGATCATAATAATACTAGATTTTGTTGCAAAATGACATAGATTTAAAAAGTGGCAAATCATCAAAATTTCAGGTTATCATACGGAGAGACGTAGCAGTAAATAGTTATATATGTGTGTCTGCATGGAGATGTGTGTAAACACATGGGTATGTTATAGGCCAAATATCATTTTGAAATGTTTGCTCTCAGATTATCTCCAAATCATCCCTTGGGTACTTTGTAGTTTCTGAAAAGGTAGATTCATATTGTACCATCATGACAGGACACATGAGTGAGAAATTTTCCAGAGTGGGCAAAATGCCCATTGGATGACAAAGGCAAGATAAATTAGATAGAAAAAAAGTCTGATTCAGCATATGAGACATGTCATGAATTATAAAGTTAATCATCCATATTGCCCAACTGAAAAAGGCATACATGGAAGAGAGCACCCAAAGGCATCTTCAGTAGTAACAAAAGATTGTCTTGGATTTTTTATATTAATTCAAAAGAGAACATGCTTGAGATGTTGAGTTTCAGCCAATCCCAATACATATCAGATGGGTTAGATAAGAAGCATCGAGCCCGAATATAAATTGGATATAAATTTGAAGTCATTCGACTAAGACCGGTGAAACTACTGAAAACATTGATACTATTAAAACCACTCCCTACTACCAACCCCTCCCTTCTCGCATTAAGATAATTATTTCCATTGGATATCTCGTCAAGTTTTGCATTTCTTCTCCTTCCCTTACTCTTCCTACAGCTGATGCTTATGGTAGTCACCTAGTTGTTAATCTCCCCAAACACTTCTTCCCATTTCTTGCTCACAATTGTTCCAGTGACTCTCATTGGGATTTGTTGGTAATTCTCTCAAGGAGAAGCAAGAGGCATAATAAGTAACCTACATTCCACTCACAGTCAGCATTTATCAAGAGTATGAAATGTGATTTGTGCTGATCAAAAGCACATATCTCTTCAAATTGTTCCTTTCCATGGAAAACAGTTTGCCTTCTAATTTAAAATCATGGTAGAACTTTCCTTTGCATGTACTGTTCTTGGTCAAACTTCATCTGCGTGGGGAGGAAAACACTGCCATGTTTTTCAAGTGATGACGCCTCCAACCAATCCCTCAAATTCCTCCAATTTTAATCGACTTAGAACCCAACTCACTTCAACGATCATGTCAAGCATAGGTAACAACATTTCTCGCGAAATGCCTGATGATCCTGATCTTACCCACACACGTTTGACTTGTGGCCAAGAAACAAAAGGGCAGTAAACAAACACCTCCCAGTCGACTTCAAAACGACGCGTTGAAATGGATTAAGGTTCCAGCGTCGCAGGAAAGAGGAGGGCATATGTGTGTTACCTCTTTGGGAAAGGAGGAGTAGGGATGACTGGCGTAGCGGGAGGCTTCGAGGGCCTCGTCGAGGTCGAGCTGGGCAGCGACGTCCTTGCCGATGCGCTCGCTGATATGGAGGCCAGCGGATGCCACGTCCGGCCCGACGATCTCGTCCTCCCACGCCATCCAATCGCCCTCCGCTGCGGCCGGAACGGGAGGAACCGCGGGGCCAAAAACCCTAGGACGGGAGAAGAGGACGAGCTCCGAGAACCGGTGCTCGCCCACAAAACTCAAAAGAATACAACCTGGTCACGAGTGGAAAGACGAAATAAGAAACGCTCTTCTCGGTACCGATGCGGCGGAGAGCGAGAAAGAGAGCGAGCGGGGAAAGGCTTTTGGGGAGAGTAGTATTTTCACTTACCCCGGACACTACTGACTCACTTTTGTACCCATTTGTTTATTACGCAGAACATGTTACGTGTTCTTTTGGGGACTTCCTTAGGGTTGGGTGGAAGTAATAATTAATGAATTTCCCCGAATTTTAGTATGATATAGTAAGTAATAATGGGTGAATTGGCGATAAAAGATACTTACTTCAACGTTCCTATTTTAATTTATTTTTCCGCGGCTCTTATTCTTCAAAATCTCTTGTTTTTATTTTTCTTAAATTGTGATCTTATTTTTGTATAATCCCAAAAGTACCCCTCATCCTTCTCCGCTTGTCGCTAGCGTCGCTCTCCGACTCATCGCTGCCATTGACGATCTCCTTCATCTTCCCCACGTCCAGGACCCTTCATCGTCAGTTTGCCTAGGTCAACCACCTCCTCGACGACCTCCTCTGTCTTGTTAATGCCCATGGCTCCTTCCGCTCCAGCGTCATCACCCTCAAGAATACTCTAACGACAATCAACTGAATCCACAAAAATAAGAAGTATCATCATTCTGGAGAAGTATACTATGATTAAACGTTTGCTTACGAATAAACAAAACGATAATTTAAGAGCCAAAAGCTATACATTCAATAACCAGTATTCATCAGCTCGATCAAGTACCGGTGTCAAAACATATAGTTTGATACAGAAACAGAACTGCTTATTTTCATTTTTAATTATGTTATTCAATAACACCAGATTGGTATAAGTTGGCATACCACCTGCTATACTAGTATTGTACCAGTCATATATATTAACAAAATCAGTATTGAACCGAGATTTAAATCTTTGATTTAATTCATTTCTGGCAATAATATATACATATATATGCAGAGAATTGATACAAAAGAATTCTGAAACACACTCAAACCAGTTATCTGCAAGGGACTTGAACTATTGTCCTGGCTGAACAACAGAAGAATACTGATATCCATACAAAAGAATATTGGTGTCGGAAGATAGGTACAATTGCAAAACCGGTTTGCTTACCACCTGGTAAGCCAGATGCAGTGAGCCTACTGCGCTGCAAAAACCATATTGGACCGAACTAGACAAAATTGCATGATCTACGTCCTAATTGGCCATTGAGATGGCAAATACCACCGCATACCAGCTAGTTCAGGTGGTATTTTAAAACTTGGTATTAAGTATCAAGAACCCCATTCTTGGAATATAAGTCTTTCAATGCTAGAAACAGTAATTACCATTTATAATCGATGGTCATTGTCTGTGTGAAATTTCTTTAAAGATTGAAAACTAGAACAAAGCAATATAATGTCGTTAAGAAAAACCATAGTTGGGACTTCGGACATCACTGTCTATTATGTGAAATTTCTATGAAGATTGAGAACTAGAACAAAGCAATATAAGGTTGTCAAGAAAAACCAAAGTTGGGACTTGGGACATCACAGCTTCTTGTAATGAGGAATATGCAGTAAAAGGTTCCGATTCATTTATAAGGAGGTGCACCAAGAGGCCATGCTAACACTGTGAATGCATGTGATTAAAATATAAAATAATCAAGTTAGGCACTATATTTTTCAGACAACAATGATGCTTTCAAATGAATTCAACAAAAAATATTTGGCAGCAGTGATCCTACCTCAACAGGAGTTGCCAACACTAAGAGATAGTGGATTGCTTCAACAAAAATTCCAGACTTTGATTTAGCAAGGCCGACAGCGCAAATTGCTTGTTCATCAGCACTATATTCAGGGCATTGTCCATCCCTTACAATAAAGAAAAACATAGGATTAATATAAGATTAAAAAAACAAGCACGCCCAAGTATACATTGTTATAAAGACCATATGCATTTGAAAACATATGCAGCACCAAGCATACAAGTAGCTAAACAATTCATGTTCCAAAATATTCACCACCTCAGGCAAGAACATAAAGAGATCCTCAGAACTTCAGACACAGTACGGTGCCCACCGCACCATTACTGCAGCATATTAGTTGGCTGAAACGAGCAACAAAGGTGGTTTAAGAAACAATTAAGATGCAGCGACCACAATCACTGCTCAGATAACTTTCTATCCCTTTTCTTCTATGCAGTGTGGCATGACATTCTAACCTTGACCATCCGATCGCAGGCAATGGTTAGAGTATCAGACAAGTTTTTCCTTCTAGAAGCAGAATTAGTTCATGCAAGTTTATCCTGCAAAGATCAGGCATTTTATCTGGTCATGCCAAATGGTAGATCAAGTTAGCAGACTGACAGCCCTTGAAGAGTTAAAAGATGGATATAGAGAAAATCTGCATTTGATCAACAAATTGCTTATTTGGTCAATTGATCAAACCTTGACAAAGTTCCCATACTACAGAATCATAAGAAACCTATGTGGATGAATATGCACTCGTCATTAGTGGTGCATTTTCCGTAATAAGACCCCTCCTTTTCATGTCTTCTTCCAAATTTGAGACAGCAGAAATATCATTCTGCATGACGTAACCTCTAATCAAAATATCATACACCACAGCATTTGGATCAATCCTTCTGTTTAGCATATCATCAAAAACCTACTTTGCCTCAATCATAAACCCTTTAGTTGCTGAACCACAGATAAGTGAGCTAAAGTTAAGCAGATCAGGATAAATGCCCTTCTGAACCATCAATCTCTCAAGTCTCAGTGCCTCCACCATATCCCCTTCTCTACAGTCGCCAGCAATTTTTCAAGTGTAGCTAAACTTATATGGAGCTAGACCAGATTTTGGCATATCCATGAAAACCTTATCAGCATCATTTGTATTCCCTTGCTTGCACAGCCCATCGACAAGTGCGGCATAGGTAACCTCATTAGCTTCTTTCGCTTTCACAAGATATACTTTTGCCTCCTGCAAAAGCCCATGCTTGCAAAGCCCGCCGAAGTAGTGGACAGATCAAGCTCAAAACCTTTAATGAGCATTTCATTGTGCAAGTCCAAGCCCTTCTTCGCATCCCCTGCTTTGAAATGGACATCCATCAGATTGTTAAAGATAAATTTATCTGGAATCAGGCCTCTTCCCTCCATCTCCTTTCTCATCTCTAAAGCTCTATACAACTGACCGTTATTGCAAAGTTCGCAAATAACCCTCCCATATCCCTTCACATCGAGACGGATTCCCCTCTCATACATTCTACTCAAATATCTCATTGCCGTATCAAAATCTCCTTTTTTGAAGTACCATCTATCAAGGAAGTATAGACCACCACATTTGCTGGCACCCCTATCTCGTGCATCTTTTCAAACGTCTCTACCGCTCTCTCCAGCATCCCCTTCTTACAGAGAGCATCAACAAGTGCATTGAAAGTAAATACATTTGGCAGCACAGAAAGACTTGTCATGCGATCATACAAGTCCAGTGCCATATCCAAACGATCGTTCTTGCAGTATCCATCGATCAAACACGTGAAAGTTACCAAATTTGGAGAAATCCCTAAGAACTGCATATCATTCAGTGTGAAATACCCCATTCTCAAGTCGCCCAATTCGCACAACATATTGACGAGAATGCTATAAGTAACCACTATCGGGGAGTGAGCCTTCAACATCAATGCAAAGAATGCTGTAAGTTACCGAGGCATTCTACGCTTGCCGAAGGAGCTCATCATGGTGTTGTAGGTGACAATGTCGGGATGGGGCCCACACGATTGCATACTGCTCAAGATGGCGGAGGCCCCGCGACGATAGTCTTCGACGATGGAGTTGAAGATGACGACGTTGGCATCGCAGTCGAGAGCGGGGAAAGCGACGTCCACGAAAGCCTGGGCCGACCGGGGGCCACCGTGCCTAGCGAGGAGGGAGACAGCGGAATTGAGGGCCGAAATGTGGGGCCAGAGTCCACGGGAGACGAGATCGCAGAGGAGCTTGAGGGCGAGATCGCCGACGGAGGCGAAGACCAGGCGGTGGAGTGGCGGTTGCTGGCGTCGTGGGATGGGGAAGCAGGAAAGCTTTCGGAGTTTGGCAAAGAAGGGCTTTTAATATGAATCCGGAAGTCCGACCCGTTTTGGCAAAGAATATGGTTCGGGTATGTGTGTGGATCCGGAAGACTCACACACACAAACATATACATATTATATATATATATATATATATATATATATATGTGTGTGTGTGTGTGTGTGTGTCTATATATATATATATATATATATATATATATCACACTAATTTTTATATTTATCGCTCTTAATTTTATCTGATAATGTGTATTTCTTATAAAATTAAAAGCTTGGAAATATGTTATTATTGGCTAAAATTTTATGATGTTATATATTACACATCAGAACAGCTTCTTGACTTCCGTACCATCATCTCCACCGTGTGTTCTAGGTTTGACGACCATAAAAAAGAGTCGACTTTGGAGCCCTTATCAAGCAGAGGATGCATCAAAACTGGAAGAGGCTCAACGAGTTTGCAGCAGACTTTGACTTCCTGAACTGATGACCGTTGACGTAGTAATCTATAGGCCATGGAGAAGCCATGGATGGGAGCGCAGGGTGTCAGTACACTGCGCTATCTCCATCAACAAGCTCGCGAGTCTGTCTCATCAGACTGATGGTCATCGTCGTGGTTATCTATATAGAGATCGTAAGGGAACCATTAACGGTGGAGTTGCAGGAGGGCACAACATGGACATGTGCATCAACGAGCTCAGCATCTGACTTTGACTGCCTGCTGCATTGAACCGGCAGTCCTTGTCGTGGTCATCCATAGATCATGAAGCAGTCATGAGCTGTGGAGTTGCAGGAGAGAACGACACGGACGTCAACACGGTGCTGCGTGCCATCGACAAGCTCACAAGCATCAAAACTGGAAGAGACTCGCGTGCATCTGACTTTGACTTCTGCAGTGAACTGGTAGCCTTCGTCGCGATCATCTTTAGATCGTATGGCAGCCATGAGCGGGTGGTGAAGTTGCAGGAGAAGCACGACATGGACATAAACCTACCGTGTGCGTGTGCCATCAACAAGTTCACAACTGGATGAGTCTGCGTCCTGGCTTTGACTTTTGTAATGAACCGGTAGTCCTCGTCACGGTCATCTATGGATCACGAAGCAGCCATCAGCGGTGGAGCTGCAGGAGAGAAAGACATGGACATAAGTGCACTGCGTGCCATCAACAAGCTCACAAGATATCAACGCGAAGAAGATTCACGGAGTCTGCATCTGACTTTGACTTGTGCAGTGAAATGGTAGTCCTTGTCATGGGCATTTGTGGATCATATTTGAAGCAACCATGAGTAATGGAGTTGCAGGAGAGCACGACATGGCCGTCAGCGCACTACGTTTAAGTGGGAGAAGAATGAGAGAACACGTAACATGGAGCTCTTCCCATGCGTTATCCATATAGAACAGTTGGACGGCCCCTCAACTCTCATCCATGGAGTTGCATGTCATTTCCTTGCCTGCTTTATCTGTGCCCATCTTTCATTGAAAAGTGCTCGGGAAACAGAAGCGCCATGTTCATCATGTGATCGAGTGGAGTCACACTTTTCAAAGTCACCCACCACCATCATATCACATAGCAAGAGATCCCATTCTATAATTATTCTCAAATTTCACATATTTTATAATAAATAAATTAATATACTTTGAGTTTCTTTTTGGTTGATGATAGAGGGTTTGAAAGATTTGTGAGAATTATACCTAAATATTTCAGAGGAGGAATAGTCCATCAACAAACCTGATACATCATAGAAAGAGGCCCTCTCCAAGTATACTATACTAAGAATATTCCTTAATAACATAAAATATTAATTTATTCTACACTAGATTGAACTTGACTTAGCATGGAGTTCACAATTAATTAGTTCTTAGCATGAACTTGATACTGTATATATATATATATATATATATATATATATGATTAAATTTTTTTGGTCACATATTTGAACCAAGAAAAGAAGGTAAAAGAGATATTTATTTGAATACCTTCATTATAATTTCATTTGTCATTTATGTTTGTTAGTGCATTATTGTGCAGTAATAGATTGCATGTTCAAATTCACTGTGAGCATTATATACGTTATTCAATATAATAAAAAATATATTTTTAAATAAAAATAATTAGATATTAGGTTAAAAATTATCCGAGCTTCAATTATATTAGTTTTTATCAAAATTTATACTAAATTACATCGATAACTCTTTTTATTTCTTAATGTATAATATATATTCTTGGAACGAGTGATGTTTCAAAACCCAAATCGATTCCAACCAAGCCTATTCTAAGCTAATTTAGATAACAATACAGGATACAATGTAATAAACACCACTTCTATTGGTCAAAAATTGGGTCAAGTCAAATATAATTTATATGTGTTCTGATCTATCCTAATCCAAATTGCCAATTAAATTGAGAGTTCAACTCTAACACACTTGTATCCCTATTTTTGCTAGATGCACATAGCTAGATAAAATAATAATAATATATTTTATGAAAATGTTGCCATCAAGGATGGCTTCCTAGCCGATGTTGAGATCTACATCAAATGGATACAAATTGAATTATATTCTGAATGTTCCATTCATATTTTGAAGATAAAATATGATACTCCCTAACATATTCTTAATTCCAACTATGATATATAGATCTTATTGCTAGTTCAGACTATAAGATTGATTTTTATATCTATTATATTTGGTAAGGGGTTGTGTCATGAGATTTATTTATTTTTTGTGAGCCAAATAAAAATATAACTCCCTATAGATGACTTCTATACCCAACATTGGGTCTATTCTTTTCCATTTGGCTATAGCCAGACTCAAGCCCATTAGCAACTGCCACCAATCAATCAAATCATGAAGCCACCCAAGTACATTAAATAGCTCCCAATCCAGGAGTCCCTGAGGGGTCCCAATATTAACTGCAAGAGACCTGCATGCACCCATGAATGGAGAACAATACAAAAACAGGTTGGTAGCCAAAGAAGCCTCCTCCAATCATGGTCACAGGTCCTGCCAATTATATGTGCCAAATTCATCCCCCCCTTCCATCCTCCCACCCACACATCTTTTTTTCCTCCTTTTGTAATTTGATTCCATCAATTAGTGTGCAATAAAGAAAAAAAAAAAGGGAAATACCCCCAAGATTCCCACATTCCAATCCAAGGCCACTTGGCACTTTTCTATTGGTGGCTTTTTACTTTTACCACAGCCGCTTCTAAGTTGTATTTCACTATTTTTTAAACCCGTATTCCTACCTGTAATGTTAATGGTGCAAAATAACGGACCCAGCCCGGGCCCACGTGTAATTCCAAAGCTTCTCCCAATCACAAGACAGGTAGTTGCGGAAACGAACAAGGCCACTTTGGTCCTTTTCTGCACACCCTCTGCCATGTAATTATTTTCGCCACCCAATTTATTTACTTATGGGTATAACTATGACGTTATTGGTGAAACTAGTGGGTCCGGGTCGGACCCGACCTCACCTTTGTGCAAGAGGGTAACAGAAGGAAGGTGTAGGGAATAGTTTTACTCGTTTCGCCGTCTCTCTCTCTCTCATTAAGGAGGCCATCAATAAACTCATAACTCTCATTAAGAAAAGCGAAAGGACCCCAAGAAAGGACACACCCCAACAGTGGTATCCTCTCTCTCTTCCCGTCTCCTCTCACTCTCTCTCTCTCTCTCTCTGCTCCCTCGCTCACAGTGATCTTTGGATCGAGGGATCGGTCGACGAAGCCGCGGTTCGCAACTCTCAGGCGTCGGGTGCTCTCGATCTTTACGTGGATTTGATCTGAACCGGGTCGGGTTGCGGCGGAGGGGGCTTCCCGTTGACTTTCCCGCTCTGCTCTTGGAGGAGGTTCCGGCGGATCCGGGGTGTCAAATCTTGTCGAGCTTTGGATTGGAAAGGTTGGGCATGGAGGTTGGATAGGGATCTGTGGGAGGTGGGGTAGAAGTGGTGATTTGAACAAGTTTGTGGAGTGATTGGCGGGATTGGGGATTGTCTGACTAAGCGAAGGTTCGGGAATCGGAGGTGCGAAACATGAGCGTGGGAAGCAGCTACGCGAGTTCCAAGTTGGAGAGTGACAGAGTGCCGGATAAGTTCCCGGTGGGGATGAAGATTCTCTTGGTGGATGACGACCCGATCTGCTTGGCTGTGGTTCAGCGTATGCTTCTGAACTGCCAGTACGATGGTGAGTTGCTCTTTGCACCCCTGTTTGTGCCCGAAAGCTTGCGTTTCTGAACTCGTGCTGGGTTGTGTTGGTCTTTTCAGTTATTGGGAATCTGAGGTTTTAGTTATGAGCTGGTCCTTGATATGTCTTATTTTTGTTCCTTAAGCAATTTGATCGTTTTTTATGGTCTTTTTGCTTACACATTGGCATCGGACACCGATGTGAATGTGGGCGCATTGTGGTAGTCTAAGGATTACATTAACATGTGGAAAACTAAAAATCTAGGACCAAATTTACAGAGATTGAAATAAAAAAATGACTTTACTGGCGAAGCATACAACTCCTTTATTCTTCTTATATTTCAGATCCTAACATTAACTGGAAATTTAAGTGAGATACTTTGCTGGATATGCAACTAGTCATTGCTTACTAATGTGAATCTGTGTTGAGTAAGTTACTCCGTTCGATGCTAGTTTCTACTTCCGAAAGTAAATTTAGCCAACCAATGAGTCGCGACACTGTTTGCCAGCACATCTAATCCCTTTTGGGTTTGGGTTATTGAAAGGAAATTGCTAGTGTGGTGTACTTGATGATCACAATGTGACGTATTAGGCTTTTTGACTGATGAATGTGGTTACATCCCTTTCTTGTTTAGCATATTGGAAAAAGTCTGAATTATTAGTAAAGATTTGTTGTTGTCTTAGAAGGTAGGCGTAATTACGTTCTATTTTACAGATTGCTAGCCGATCCTAGGAACTTATCATTATGAACATAATTATTCTGTTATTTTAAGACATTCTAGGCATTTCCCTGGGAACCTTCTTTTTCAGAAATTTTGTAGTCTTTGGCAATCAGCATAAACGATCACCATCAACATTTGTAGTGACAGTTCCTACCTTGCTTGACTCTAACTTGTCTGTGCCTGGTTGGAGTCTGTGTTGAACATATTTTTGTGCAGGTTTGAAACTGGTACTATTTAAGCTTGATTCAGAGTTATACTGTCATAGAGCCAAGGGGAAAAGGAGAGAGGGGGGACAGCGGGAGCTGGTTTTCATTATCATGAGCTTATGCATCCACATTTACTGCTATAGGAATGTTTTATGGATCAAAACTTCAAAGTATGTTACTGATGCTGGGTTCTAAGTGACCTGCAGAAGTTTTAAATGCTACTGATGGAATCTATCTAGTTAGGATATATAAGATAGAGTAAGCATCAAATTGATGTTATTGATTTGCCTTAGAACTATCAGTCACATAACTTTATAATCCACCTATACTATAGAGAAAGAAAAACTACCTCTGATACAAGTTCCCTTTGAAGATAGTGAAAAGTATTTACTGCTAGAGCCATGTTCCTTTTTTTCACTGCTTATGTTGAGGTTTTTTGCTTCTTTTCTCTGGTTCCTTACCTGCTTGCCTGCTTGCCATTAGATATTTGTAAAACATTTTGAGTGGTATTGCATTTTAGTTTAAGTGGACAAGCATTTGACATTATACGGTACAATGCCAATAACTCGAACCCTTTCTTACATCGACAATGCTCCTCTGAAGTTTCTTGTTTAGCTCTAATCATGTAATTATAGTTTTTAAAATATTCAAAATAATAATGCTCTTCTTCCATTTCTGTAGTTACAACTTGTTCTGAGGCTACAAGAGCTTTATCTCTGCTAAGGGAGAATAAGGGTGCTTTTGATCTTATAATCAGTGATGTTCATATGCCTGACATGGATGGGTTTAGGCTACTCGAATTAGTTGGTCTCGAAATGGATCTACCTGTTATCAGTGAGTACTTAGTTTTTCTATATTCATTATATGCATCCGGGGTTCTGAGCTATCCTAGAAACATTTACTATGCTTTATGCGTGAATCTGCAGTGATGTCTGGTGATACAAGATTCAATGTTGTGATGAAAGGAGTCAGTCATGGGGCTTGTGATTTTCTAACTAAGCCTGTACGTATGGAAGAGCTACAGAACATATGGCAGCATGTTGTAAGAAGAAAATGGCTAGATAGTAAAGAAATAGAGCGTTCAGGTAGTGTTGAAGAAGCTGATCGCGGTAGACAAGTCACAGATGATTCTGAATATGCTTCCACAGTGAATGATGGAATAGATTGTTCATGGAAATATCAAAGAAAGAAAAGAGATGCTAAAGAAGAAGATGACAATGAGTTAGATAACATAGACCCTTCTTCATCGAAAAAACCACGTGTGGTGTGGTCAGTTGAGCTCCATCAGCAGTTTGTCAATGCCGTGAACCAACTAGGAATAGACAGTATGAACTTTCATGACTCATGTTTTATTGGATAGCAACAATAAATGCTTTTCTAACTGTTAATTGAAATGAATTGACCATACAAATTTTGATTCTTTGTAAAGAAAACATAAGCTTGACTTTGGAAAATTTAATCAAAAACTCTCTATGTTCCTAAAATTTTTTGCTGGATTTTGCAGAAGCTGTGCCCAAGAGAATCCTAGAATTGATGAATGTGCCTGGTCTGACTAGAGAAAACGTTGCTAGCCATTTGCAGGTTTGTCTTTGAGCTAGCTATTCATTTTTGTGCAATGATGCTGCTCTTCTTTTTAGTTTCTTTTTGTGTTTCTGTGAAATTGGAACCTATCACATGCTCTGATCCTTTTTCTGTCCATCTTACCAGATCAATTTGGTTGTTCATGTTCTTGACATAGATGTTTAATCTCATATGGTACCTATGAATTGACTTATTGTCTTAAGAGTCCTGTTAATCAACAACAATCAACTTCTAGAAGCAAAATAAATTGGCATATATCATGTTGACGAAGTATAGATGATATTAGTGAAAATTTGCCTACTTGCTATTGCTAATAGACTAAAACATGATATAAGATTGTAGAACACTGCTGTCTCAAGAAAATATTTTATACTGTTTCTTTAGATTTTGAGATTTTTATGCCAGTTCATATTGTAGTTATTGCTTTGAAATTTATCTACAATTTATGCATAAATTGCGAAGCGGATCGGGTATTGATGTTGTACTCAATCAAAGATTATGTTACCCTTGAAATTCTACATTAGAGTATGGATGAGATATCTTTTTATATAAAGGCATAAATGCACTTTTATTAATCGAAGTACAGATTTTAGAGCCAACCATCAGAATTTACTAGTCTGTACCAACACATCAAGAACAAGTTTAAGATAGTGGCCATCCTAAACAATAAATTCATATGACATAATCTCAGTGACAGTAAGATGTATATTTAGACATGCATGAACTCCAACATCAATAGAGCCAACAATACAAAGACAATGCCTTTGACCAAAACAGGAACCAACCATTAGGCACAGAACATATTGCATAGCTAACATTAGCAGTACAATATCATTAACTGTAGTCTTGCACAATAGTAGTTAATCTTTCATTGTAAATATGAGCAATTGTACCATTGGATGCTTTCGGTAATTGTTAGTTCAGAAGTCAATACTTGGATTGATGCAATTTACATGTCAAAAGAAAGATACTGGGGGCTTGAAAGAGCACCCATTTTATTGCATGTTTTGCCTTGACTAGTTTGGTAACTGAGTTAACTGATGGGCATGAAAGCACATAATGATTAATCGAGACTCATTATTCTGCCTATGTCAATGTAGTAGTCATATAACAATATGAGCCAATTTTCATTTTCAAGGAAATATTATCTAAGTTTTTCCCTGTGAAATCTGGATTGTTATACAATAATGACGATAACCTTTTAGCATTTTAACGTGTACAGAAGTTCAGGCTTTATCTGAAGAGATTGAGTGGGGTAGCTCAACACCACACTGGACTTAATAGTCCATTATATGGAGCTTCTTCAAATGCAAAAGTGGGTCAGCTGGGAAGATTTGATTTCCAAGCTTTGGCAGTCTCAGGTCAAATTTCGCCAGAAACCCTGGCTGCCTTGCAAGATGAGCTCTTAGGTCATCCTCCTTGTAACTTAGCGATGCCAACAATAGACCAGCAAGTGCTCCAACAAGCTTCAGTGCAACGAAATAATAGTGTTACTTTTGAACGAGGAATAGCATTTGGTCAGCCTTTATTAAAGGGCCAGGCAGTATCCTCTTTTCCTGTTTGGCCCGCAAACGATCTTGGTGCTCTGGGCTCTGCCAGCAACCTTGGAGGGTTGAATACTTCTCAGAACAGTAACATGCTCATGACGATGTTGCAGCAGCCACAGCCGCAGACTGTGCCGTCAGAATCCAATCATGCTATTAATGTCCAAAGATCTTGTCTGGTTGCCCCAGCAAAATCATCAAACAAATTTCAGGTTCAGGGCAATCCTATGCATATAAATCAGGACTCTACCATAATCTCCTCCCAATCTTCAGCTAATTTTCAACCAGGGAATGCTGTTGTTCCGGTGATTCAAGATTCTGCGGTAGTTACTTCTAACTCATCCACCAGTTTGAAGACGGGGAATAACCTTTTTGTTACAAATCATAGATCCACAATACTCCCCTCTCAGTCATTGACTGGCATTTCACTGGGGACCGATTCTGGGCTTCTAAATCAAGGTTCTATAATAGTCCCTTCTCAACCATTAAACAGTTCTCAGGCTGGGAGCAACTCTATTCTTAGCAGTCAGAACTCCATGCTAGTTCCATCTCACTTATCGGGCTCATTGAGGACAGATAAAAATATTATTCCTATCACCCATAACTCAAGTTTGAATAACAGTAGCTCACTTGTGAATTACAATCGCCTGCCCACCCAGTCAAATGTTATGCCATCCAGCATGAAGCAAGTATTAGATAATTTAGCTGCAGTAGATAGTTTCTCAGTTCCTGTATCAATGAATTCACAAGTGTTATCAAGTACAGGTAGCAGCACTAGTTGGCAGTTGCATAGCCCTGACATTAGCATTAGTCATCCAAATGGCACACACAGTCTTGTGCCTAGTTCTTGTAACATTGAAGCCACTGATAGACTGTTGGTAAAATTACCTGACAAGGGACTAGGGAAAAATCTCGGTTTTGTTGGTAAAGGTACCTGTCTCCCAAGTCGTTTTGCTGTGGATGACATCGAATCTCCAACAAATGACTTGACTAATAGTAGTGCTTACACTGGTGATGATGGATATCTACAAAATCAAGATATTTTTGGAATTAGTGGGACACTTCAGAGTGGACATTGTGCTACCACAAGTTTCAAGTGATCTCATGAAAGTTTCAGTAAGACTTGAATCCTTCACGTGCATTATGTAATTATTCGAACTGATGGCTTCTTACTCTTGACTTTCAGTTTTTATGTTTTCGAGGCCTAACCTTGATTGATTCTAGCTGGTTTGCTTGTGTGATATAAAGACTCAAAAAAGTACACTTTTATGCCTTATACATGATGATTGATTGATTGTTTTTTGGGTCCCACTTGTCATTTATAAACAGCCTAACGAGTGTTTTCTGGCAGTTATGTTAGAAGCAATATAATGAAAACAATTTTAGGAGCAACACAAATGAGTTGGCTATTGCTCATCAAATGTCATTCATTTCCTGATTATTGTTTGTTTTTTTCCCTGGATTTATTTTGTAATCACATTAGGACCATGTATTGCTATAGAATTTGTGAAGGCATTCATACTATCTGGTGACTACTCTAAGTTTCACTCCAAGATTTTTTCCGCTATCCTTGTTATTAAGATTGCTAGTCTTAGTGATTAGTAATGGGACAGTTGCTCCTGAATTGTCTTTCAGCTGGCAGATTGTATGACTCCTAATATGCATATGTGTTATTACCCTCCCATGTAGTTGTTTGAACGCATCATATGTATGGCTTAAACTGTTGGAGAAAGGGCTCCGCATGTAAAATACCTGTTGGCTTCAAGAGTCCCATATTTTATGTGCATTATGAATGTAGGTGGATAGCATGAAGGCATGTTTTCTCCAGTTCAGGTGCAGACTCTGTGGTCTTAACTTCTTTCATAACATGGTAGAGATAACATGCATATTGTTATAGATACATCATTGTAGACATCTCTGTTATTTGGTTTCTGATATAAAGTTTATTTCTTCAGCTGTACATACTTCAATCACGATCCTCGTTTTCAAATGCACCTTTACATTGTGCATAAATTTTGCTAAGAATCAAACACTGGCTGTGGTACCCATATTAAAATGTTATCGGACGAGTGCATATTGATGGATATGGTATGTTATGTCTTGATATGCTTCAGTGTACTAGTAATAAAAAATAAAAAGAAGTTTAATATCTGGATATGGCCAGTACACCGGTATAATAGTATCATACTCTTTATAAACTGCCATATCCGAGACCTCGTATTTTAGCATGTCCATGTTGTGTTGTTCCGCATGGGAAGAGCTTTAACCAGTCACTTTGTTTTGTAGGTAAAGTTTGGCTGGATGACTTACTGATCATGGCGGCATATCAGTTGGCATTACACAAGATCTCCAATTGCTCTTTCTTAAGTTCTCTGTTGCTTGTCATGTTGGAGCGGAAGAAATCTTTATGGGATTCTTTTTTACCATCCCCCAAGATACCAAGTTATCAAGTTGGTCCCCAGCAACGTAATTATGAGAGGTAGTTGGTGGTTAGAAATTGCTTCGGTCGATTATGTTTGCAAGTTGTGGATCGTAGAACGAAGCATCGGTTGTCAGAGTGGTAGTTCTTTGAGCTAGTTAATTTGATACAAATATATATATATATATATATAATTTCTCTCTGTTTTCTTCAGCAAAACGATGTGATGGAAGTGTGAGGTAACATTGGGACCTGCTCAGCGGTCATGTAATTAATTGTCAGTTGATGGGCGTGGTAGAAAAAATTGGTGTACATTAGTAAGTATGAGCGAGGCTCATTGATAACCTGTGTACCTGTTCTCGTCAATAGTTGTGGTTTTTATGTCCATTCGACAGCAGCAGTAACTTGCAGCTGATCTTGTCAAGCTTTTTCTGCATTCGCAGACCAGCTTTCTTCGTGCGTAGTAGTAACAGTTGTTTGTTTTGTTGGATGCTGTTTACTGCCCATAGTTGTTCAACAGTATACTCTCTCTCTCTCTCTCTATATATATTGAACTACATTGTGTTAGGTAAGCAATTACACGTAGGTAGGTGGGATATGACTGGAGTTTCCCTCACATTATTAGTTCTTTCTTTTTGTATTATTCTCAAGTTGGGATTTAATTTTGTAGGATCTAATTTTGAGGATTTCTTTTATTAATTTTTTTTCCAAGAAGAAGCAAAAGAAGGCAAAAATACAAGATTAAGTATTTTTGCCGACAGTGATCGATCGATCAGATTAAGTCAAATCCGACCGACAGTGATTGATCAGATTAAGTATCGACATACAATCACAATCATCAAATCAAGCAATGCAATAACACAGAACAATACTTTTATGTCTATATCTATATATGCAAAAATACAAGCACGAAGGAAACACGAGCCAATAAAATGTTGACCAGAAAATTTTGATCTGGTTTCCCTGCCATTTATGAGCACAACAACACGGCGGTAGCAGGTACAAAAAGTAGCATTCAGATAAACTTGCATAAAACATAAAAAAAGAATTACACCAGCACTGCTGGTTGCCGGAAGAACAAAAGCTTCACTTCTTTAGCAGCATCGAACTGCATTGAGCCATTATCTTTGAAGCCCGAGTAATAGAATTCGTCATGTAGAAGTTCTCGACCGCAGCTTCGAATGGCTCGGGGCTCATCTGGTGTTGGAAGTTTGGTTTCATATCGATCGATACAGTAGATGGCTCTCTCTCATCCACATGCAGTAGATTGGGAGCCACCATCCTAATCCGTGCTCGGACAGCTTCAAGGTTATCATAGGGCAGGCGCACCCCAGCAACCTCGGAGAGTGCCCGAATGATCTTCCAATCATCTCTTGCATCACCAACGGTGGGAACTGCTGGAACAGTCCATTGAGAGCAGCCTTCCGCATTCTCATACGTGCCTTCTTTCTCGCTGAACGCAGAAGAAGGCAGAATAACGTTAGCTCTGTAGACGCTCTCATCTCCATGATGACCCTGGTAAACCACAAATGCATCTTCTGGAAGCTTCTCTAAGTTCACATCATCAGCACCCATCAGGTATAGAAACTTGGCAGATTGGATGCTCTCGCTAGGGCTGGATACAAGACCAAGGTCGAAGGCGGCAGCTTGAGCAGCATTAAGAAGTAAGACGTTTAGGCCGTTCCAATCAGCCCTAATAACTTTATGAAGCTTTGCGATGGTTTCAACTGCAGAAAAGATGGCATCTTTGTCTTTGCGTTCGAAAATTTTAGCACCAACTATGATAGCAGGGTTCTTTGCAGATAGCAGGGTTGAGCAGAAAGGATGGCGGCCTTCAGCAATATCAAGAAGGGTTTCAGGGCCTGTGCCGAGATGCTGGTGATCATAGTTGAAGTCCGATGGAGGACCGATGTAGGCCACTTTCGCTTGAGTAGCTCTCACTGTCTTTCGGATTCTTGCATTTATCATGGGGGCTTCTACTCTTGGCTGCCAATTTTTTATACCAGCACATAGTTAGACTACGAGACATGACAAGAACTACAATACTCTGAATTAGATAACATTGCTATCTCTGATCATATGTCGAATAAAGCAGTTTAATGGGTACTTATATGATTGTAAATAGGATGAATTTCTGCCATCAAAAGACAAGCAGATAAAAAATATATATATAGATAAGAAACAGAACCAAAAGCATGAACTTAATAGAAACTTTAGATCTAAAACAGATCCTGGACTGGCTTGTATGATAAACTACATAAGAGGTGGAATTCCATGAAGGCTGTTCAATATTCATCGAACAAGACGATCTCTTTCCTATTAGGTTAATAATCTAAAAGAAAATTAACTGAAGCAGGTTACATGGATGTTGATCCATAATACAAATCTAGCATGGTTCATGTCCTTCATGAAAATGGATAACACATCAATTCTTAATAGTCATATTTTATAAAGTTCTCTGGCAATTATGGATACTAGTAGACTGTAGACTCTTAAAGAATACATTTTTGGTATAAAAAGAGATACAAGATTTAAATGAACATAGTATAAGCAAGACAAGGTTTGCAGTATGGTTCAGCACATATGGTATTCATCGATCCAATAGCCCAACGATACAAGGATCATAGTAAACCGGATGATTCATGCCTAGTATAAAATGTACCACCCGGTACAAGACTTGTATCATACAGTAATTTTTATTTTTCAGATTTTTTTTTGAAAAACGATATATACCAATATATCGATGTATATCAAGATATCAACACATTGCAGTGATTTAAAAAGCGTTAGGTGTCAAAAGACGTTAAACTCCAAAAACATCCGAGGCGCTAGGCGCTCAACCGAGCGAAACGAGACACTAAAATATATAATATAATTAATAAATATAATTATTTAAATAAAAATATGATATTAAATATTGAAAATATGATATAATTATTTAATGTGATCCTTGCAAACTGCTGTATTATTGAAATTTCCTACTAGATGTTGTTTTGCACGAAAAATACCACCTTTAGTAGTCTTATCGTAGAAGATGCAAATCAATGTATTAGGATCTTTCAGATTTTTTAAATAATTATCCTTCCATACAGGATCTTTTTTTTTTATGTCAATGGAGAATTTATTGAGTTTCCTTGTACACTTGTCATTTATCTTGAAACCCTAACAATAATTTTAAATAAATAAAAATTAATAGTATTAAGATCAAATAATATTTTATTAATCTAATAAATAAAAAATACTATTATCTGTATACAATTAACAGTATATTATTAATATACTGTTAACAGTATACTAAGTCGAGTCGATGTGAGAAGAGAGTAAGAGTAAGACCGAGACTGCTGACTGAGTGTAAGAATAAGACCAAGGCAACTGACTGAGAGCAGCGGCGATAGTGGCAGCGATAAGCAGCGACAGTGGTAGCGGTAGCGACGAGCAGCGATAGTGGCAGCGACGAGTAGTGATAGTGGCAGCGACAACGGAGAGAGGCAACGACAGTAGAGAGAGGCAACGGTAACAGAGAGAAAATGTTGGCGGCGGAATCGTGAGTAGGGTTAGGGTTGGGGAAGTCGCGAGAGGGATGCTGAGAGGCTGATATCGGTGCTTTAGTTGGTTTAATTGAGCCAACTAACACAAATGCGACCGAACCAGACCTAAAACGTTGGTTTGGTCGCTTGTTTTATCTCGGGCGCTTGCCAAAAGCGCCTGGCGCCTGCGCTCGGGCGAGCGCCTAGTTGGCACCTCTTTAAAGCGTGCTGCCTGGACATTAAACGAGGTGCTCGAGCCTCGCCTCGCCTCGCCTCGCCCGAGCGCCTATTGAAATCGCTGACACATTGTATGCTAGTACAGCTCGGACCCATACTGGTCCCAGTACCCAAAATTAAAATCCTTGTAGCAGGATATTGGCAAGAACCTCCTTTGACACAAATAATCCTGCTATTCTTTTTCTCTCTATTACATCTCTTAGGTTGCTTGCAAGATATCTCCACAAGTAAAAAGATGCTGAAAATCTGAAAATCTCATATACAATTTAGAAACCAATTGTGGTTGTCACAAAGGGCAGATTGTTAACAACACAAAATATTACAACCATAAAACAATCAGTTTGTTTACCCAGGTAAACAAACTTTGTTTACCTAAGTAATTTTACATCAGCAGACTGCGTAGACTAGATTGCACACTACATAAGTACTTTTTTTATTGCCCTGTAACCTTAGTGAAACAGTATTCTTGAAATTAATGCAACAGGTGAGACTAGGGACTGATACAGTATAATATCATTGTCTATAAGACAAAAATACTTTTGCAGAACTTATAAATTAACCTAGTAAATACAGACTCACCAAAAAATAGTTATGTTTTTAAAGTGTGTTAAGAATTTAAAACACACAGTTATACGAGGCAAAACATTGGTCTTGATACAACTAGAATTGACAACCAACAGAAATCGACACATGACTTCCGGTCAAACCATTCGGAACAATCCAGACTCAACATGTGTCTCCTAGTTGGTCATGAGGGCCCAACTAGTATGGTGATAATGTGGCACCATCTAAGTCTATCCAATCAGCACAATGATGATGTGGCATCATCTAAGCATGCCCAGTAAGCATGTCATCCAAAAGGGAATATTTGCCGTTGATACCCAGCATTGGGACCTATCAAAGGAGCACATCTCTAGCTATTTCACCTTTGAACCCTCCTAACTCAATTCTTTGAGTTCTTTGCTAGCATGCCCTTGGTACTGTTTTGCAAGATTGTTTGATTCAAAGGAGTCCGCTATCAAGGGAGCGAGATGCAAAGGAACACCCAACTCAGATGATTTCGAGGGGTATCAAGTTTCCGACGAGAGAGCATTTGGAAAACGAGTTAGGTTGGGACATATAAAAGGAGCACATCTCTAGCTATTTCACCTTTGAAACCTCCTAACTCATTTCTTTAAGCTCTTTGCTAGCATGCCCTTGGCACAGTTTTGCAAGATTGTTTGATTCAAAGGAATCTGCTATCAAGGGACTAAGATGCAAAGGAACACCCAACTCGGATGATTTCGAGGGGCTTCCAGTTTCCAGTGAGAGCATTTGGAAAACGAGTTAGGTTGGGTCAACTTCGCTATGTCGGACTGATGACTGACATAAAATAAATTAACTTGAGCTACTTTGATCCAATGGTCACTATACTAACTATACCAAAGCATAATACATCAGTTCTCTGAGTAAGATCTTGATTTATCATAGGGGTATGCATACATACAGATATGTGATTAGCCTGTGCCGATCACCATGATGCCCATGTACTGAACCAACCACCTTAAGCTGTCCACCCAAGGACAGAATGATTACTATTGCATTTATGTTATGCAGATGAAGTGATTGCTTTTGACTATTGGTTATACAGTAAAATTACTAGTTTAAAATTCAAGCAATATGCAGTTTAAGAAGTTTAACCAACCAAGGGTATGACAAATTTACAATAATTTACAATAGTATGTAACATCGATAGAGACAATTGCTGCATGTCAAAGCTAAAGAAAACCACTAAGGTAATAATTTGGCTTACCACTAATAAAACAAATTCAACGATAGGACTTATTTTCTTGGAGATTGAATGAAAAATACCTGGGTGCCAACCAACAGGAAAGCATCAGCCTTCTCAAGACCAGAAATATTCGTGTTCAGAAGATAATTAGGACGTAAATCTGCATTAGGACTTATGCCATTCCCTTCACAGGATACATTATCTGATCCCATTTTGTTCAAAAAATCTTTCAGTGCCATCATAGATTCAGCATCAGAAAGCTGACCAGCAATTCCAACTATTTCCTCAGGTTTAACTTGATGTGCAACCTCAGCAACCACAGCAAGTGCATCTCGCCAACTCACTGCCTTGAATCGTCCATCAGGTCCACGAATCATAGGATCATTCAATCTCTGCCTTTTGAGTCCATCATAACAAAATCGTGTCTTATCTGATATCCACTCCTCATTAATTTCCTACAAAATCAATACCACACCCTTTGTAAGCCAAACTCATACCCACTTTGTTGAAATACATTAATTGATTTCTATTTTCCAACAGAAGTCATACTTGTCAAAAAGATGAAAAGCTATAGAAACGTACAGGCACAATCACTTCTCATCTCACACAGATATAACATGAAATAGTTGGAAAAAGAAGATTGAAGCATGGTGAAATTAGAGAATTGAATTGAGAAACAAGTATGAGTAATTACAATGCTACTTAGTGGTTGCAGGATATCTCCTTGATCAAAGACAAACAGATGGGAGAAAGATAAAAAAGAAAAACTTGAACTTAAATTGTTCTACAGACTAAGTGTAGAAGTTGGTTAGTGACCAGAATAAGAACTAAAATATTGTTGGTTCTTTACTAGGATAACATTGTTATTTGGAAGAGTAACTATGTTTATTTTATTCCAGTGTTTAAGTTAGAAACTCCATGTTTCATGCTAAATTTGACCAAAACAAGCTGTAGAAGTTTTTACTCGATGGTTACTGGAATCTAGGAAAAGCACCTAAACATAAAAATAAACCTCAGGAATTTGTTGATGAAGTGATTCACAAATATGATTTATCCTTTTGCTTATTATATCCTCAATTGGTATAACTCTAATTGTTCCAAGCTTGCAGAATCTTCAGGAGTGAAAAAATTTTCAATTTAATCCCGACCAATTTCAACTGTACCTAAGTATCTTCTATATTATATTGCCTCAAAAGCTTGTCTTCTAGATTCTTTTTAATTGGTTTAAAACTAATTGCAGCATCCATATAGCAAATGATTCTTCAAAATTTGCAGAATTGTCAAGGGTGCAAAAAATTTCAGTATAATTTGTGCTGGTTACAATTGTATGCGACTTATGTATCATCTTGCCTCAATGAATTGCTTCTAAATCAACTGTTTTTGTAGTATATTCTACATCATATTATCATATTTTCTTCAAAATTTGGATCAGTTTTCTTCTCAAGAGGGAAAAGATTTCATGGCATTGTATCTACCTCCTAGGTTTTCAATGCATATATGTTTCTGAGAAACTCACCACGGCCAGTGACACCAGCATAGTAAATCAAATAATTCCCTTACTTCAAATTTACCATAGATGTAACCTCAGCATACCAAATGATGGCATATAAATAAGAGAATATTTCGATGCTGGACAATTTTCTAGTGCACAGAATAATGGAAAGAGAAGTAATTGGAAAAAAAGGTAGAATAGAGGACAAAATGGATGAAAAGATAGATAACAAACATTCAACCAATAAAAAATAGAATTTATATCAATGATCATGTTTTTATTTATGATTTCCTAGTTTAATATTTCCTCCACCAAAATGGAAGAATTAATCCCCTTAAATCTATCAAGGACCACCAATATAACAAAAGGAACAAGCATCCAACAAAACCTTTTCTGTACCCTGCCAAAGCATACTTCTTCATTTGGGAATTGTCTTTTAGGTGGTTCTTGGATATATATCAAGTGCAGATGAAAAGACTAAGAAAGATCATGCTGCCACCAATTTGTTCCCCAATTAAAATCTAAACATGAATCAAGTATCAACTAACTCATTCGCCTTAAACTAGACTATTATACCAACTCAAAAAGGAGACAAAACACATCATGTACTTCTATGGTTCTCTTGTACAATACATAAAGACATCACAGAAGTTCAAGAAAAACAGATGAGAACCAGTTGGACTAGACCTGAATCTAGGTGCATCACTTGACTGGCCACACCAATACTAGGCATCTTTCTAATGTATAATCACGGTTCACAAAATGATAGAATGAAACAGAGAAGAAAATATTTCTAATTTTTTATGGTACAACAATGAAAAGGTGAAAAAGGAAATCTATAAGATGAATGAATTTGGATCCATTTACACTTTCCGATAAAAGTGTAAAATATTATGTTGCAAAAATGGCTCTATAGCCATTAGCTGCAATTTTTACTTCTAACTATAAAACCCATATTACTTTTTACATTTTATAGAAGATACATTTAATTTGTTTTGTAGAAATCATCAGAAAATATGACACTTTCTAGTTTCTAGATTAATTTCCACGAGAAAAAAAAGGTGGGTGCGACTAATTCTCTGAAAGCAACAGTATGCTTCCATGATAAACTCTCCTAATGCAAGTGGTACTGTCTTAATGCAAACACTGACAAAAGAACCATACATTTATGGTCATTGAAGATGACAATAAAAAGAAACAGTATGGCATTTCCAGAATACTTGAAAAACTTGACTACTTCAAATACAATATTAAGAAAAATTGAGAATAAATATGGAAGTAAAATAGCTGGCAGATACAGTGGAACAAAACACTTATTCTATGTCGATGCTGAAAAGAGAAAAATAACAAATACCTCATTCAGACGAGGAACGATTCGCATGACTTCTGGACCTCTGCTGTCAATTCTTATGTTTGACCCAACTGCATCAGTTACATCAATTGTCTCTGTTCCCTTTAACTCCCAATTCCGAGCTTTAAAAGCAAAAGGTTTAGAAGTCAGAGCTCCAACAGGGCAGATATCTATAACATTGCCAGAGAGTTCACTTGTCATAAGTTTTTCGACATAAGTCCCTATTTCCTCTCCACTACCACGACCTAACATTCCCAGGTCCTGGACACCAGCAACCTCTGTTGCAAATCTGACACATCTGTGAAAGACAACAGATTTCTGTAACAATTTGCACATTATACAAAAAGTACATAAACAAGAAAAGTTACCGTGTTTTAGCATGAGTTAGCTTTCTAGAATATGAAAACATTCTGTTAAACTGTGTAAAATTCAAGTTCTGATAGAAGTCCAGGTCAAAGATTTACGCACAAGAGATATCCTCCATGACCAAATACTACATATAAAGAGATAAAAGTTCTGCCCCTATAACATGTGAAGGCTTAAAAATTTATCAAAGTGAAGTTTCGTTTTAGTGCATGTACTTGTCAAAGTCATGTTCAGGAATTTTCCTGTTGGAAGAGGATATCCCATAGCAGATGCACAATCAGATAGAACCAAAGTAGATAGCAACCTCCGATACAATCAATACGATAAAAAGGAACCCCATAGAAATCCTAACCTGGATTCAACTCAAAATACTCAAACTCAAGAAAAACAGTGTTGAACATTGTGTGCCAAGCTGGACACTTGAACCAATTTTTGAACTTCTAAGAGTGTTGACGATCACATCTTATTGATGCAACTTTTCCATACTGTCACAGACAAAATTGTAAATGGGGTGTTCGACGTAATGCTTATGTATGACCGTGTCTTTTGGTTTGTTCATGCTTTGCACAGCATGTAGAGGGACGGTCGAAGGCTTAACAACCCCAATTTAGTTGGGTTTGGTGGCCATTTTAGGCTTATAAATAAAGGTTGTGTCATATGGACACTTGTGTGAGATTTCGATCTGTAGTAGACCATTTTGGATCCTTTGTTGTGCGACCGTTCATAACTTGTAAAGTCTGTTTGTAATTTGCATTGGTTATGAAGTATTTCCTGATATGATTGCTTGTGGATCCCGAGTGAGGCGCTTTCTCTAACCCGTTTTCTCTTTTGTAGGTCCTAAGGGACCCTAGGAGGTTTCGGGGAGGCTGAACTTTGCGAACGGACACGCAAGAATGCCGCACGACTTAGGCAAAACCAGCGAAGTCCGTGACAGATGGTATCAAAGCGGGACAAGCACTCATAGAAACACTTGGCATGCAAACGTGGGGGACCTAGCGGGGCTGCGTTGAGGGCAGCCAGCACGCGCGACCGTTTGGGGGAAAGCGGACATTGAGATGTAGGAAAAAGGAGTCGCTCAGAGGAGCGGGCATCTAAGATTGACATTCAGAGGAATGACCAACCCTTCGTGCAAGAGGCACCACGAGGACAAGCAAGCTGGGAAAAATGCATAGCGCACAAAGGTTGGGATGGCTGAGTTTGAGCTACAGCTTAACATTGACAGTCATACTTGATGGTGCTCAAGGCAAACGAGGCGCTTAGTAAAGGATGAGATCATGTAAGGTGGAATGAGTTGTTTAGCGACCGAAAGAGTTGTGCAAAGCTCACAGAGGTGAGGGGAATTGCTAACTCGAAGAACTCGATACTTATGCAAAGGCTTGTATGCAAACGATGGAACGTTCTGTCACGAACGGTGGTCGCGCACCCGCAACAACTCCATTCAACGAACCGTTTGTCGCTCTCATCTACATGTACAGTTAATTGGCAGCCTGTTTTGCCTTGGTTTTGAGTCATTTTGCTTGTAAAAATGTAAGTTTGAACAAGCTACAGCGTTACAAAGCGACCGCTCACCGAACCGAGCAAAACAGACCAAAATAGCTCCGTTTTCGTGTGCCGCGGGCTGATTTCTGGAATCTGCCTTCGCTCAGCAAAACGTCAGCCATCTCAGCCCCTTGGAACCCCCCGGGTGGCACAGGGCTGGATGGGGCTTCGGTATAGTACCGGGCGTTGAACACTCATTCGCAAGTTTGCACGTTGCCTTGACGGGAACTTGTTGTCGCGCCCGGGACTCGGTGAGCAGCTGTTTGTGGGCTTGCAGCTGTTCGTTCAACCTTCTAAAGCCCTTGTTTTCCCCCTCTCCCTCTTTTCTCTTGTGCACGCAAGGTGCTCGCTGAATTGCTTGTAAAGCTTCCCCTCTTTTCGCGAGACGTTGGGAATTGTCCGTCGCTCGTTCTTTCGAACTAATCAACTTTCTCTTTTACAGGTCCTTCGGGACCTGTGAGAGGTTACAAGTGAGCTGATCTTTGCGGAGCAATATCACAAGGGCGAAACGCGACTTAGGCAACGCAAGCTAAGTTCGCGTCTTGGCCGCAAGGGTGCCTCACGCCTTAGGCAATTCCAGCTAAGGCCGTGACAGTTTGTGGCCATCCCAAGGCGACCGAAACTCGACGCCATAGAGCATTGAAACTTTCTCTTCAGCATGAGAAGGATACGTCCGTAGGAGGCTGAAGTGTGCAACAAGTTCAATATGTTGCTAGGCCTTGAGGGGTGCAGCGGGGACCGTATTGACATGTAGTCGTAATCTAGCAAGTGCGTTTGTGGGAGGCAGAACAATCCACTGTTTGTTCAGCAAGGTGGAGTAGTCCAAGGGGATGGTGGTCTCCAAAACTTTCAGAGATGGAAGCGAAGAGAGAAGTTGCTCCAACGGGATAGATATCCAGGAGGGATGAGTCCCGACTCTCCAGAGGGAAAACCATGTGCAACGGACTGCACATGTTGAGGAGTACCTTAAAAACAACTTCACAAGGCTCAACGGACCGAGTGAGCGACGAGGAGTCGTCGCATGATCTCACTTGAGATAATGCATTGTGGAATGCATTGCGAGATCAAGTGGGGGAGCGATCCAAGGCAACAAAAATGAATGCACACTTGGAGTCGATATAAAGATCGGATTCAACGAAGGGTTGACCCGTGGAATGGTGGGCGCGAGGGCCACCACCATCAACTCAATGCAAAATAAGGAGCGGAGCAACTTGAGTGTAACTTGGCGAAGTACCCAAGCCGCATGAAGGGAGCCAGCATAGAAGATAGAATATGGAGCGAAGACACAAAGCTTTCCTTGGACAGAGGTTAAGGACATGAACTCTTGCAGAGGCAAGAGCGGGATCATGTCGTTCCATGGGTCCTTTATTATGATGGAGCGGGCTCATCCTGCATGGTGCCAAAGACGAAAGGAGCTTCGAGACACATGCACCTTATCTTAAAGAAGCATTTGACGGAGGAACTGAGGCGACTCAACTTACGGAGGCAAAGTTGGGTTCAGAAGGCCTTGGCATGGGACAAGAGGATGCGGAGGTGGGTACTCTTGAAGAATATGCCACAGTACTATCATTCAAGTTACCATGAAGGGAGCAATGCACAGCGGAGATTGTGCTGGTAGGGGTAGAGGCCCAGGATCCAGAAAATGGTGCAACAATTTTAACGAAGTCGGTGGACTTCGGGAGCTATGTATGTCCGTGTCTTTTGGTTTGTTCATGCTTTGCACACCATGTAGAGGGACGGTCGAAGGCTTAACAGCTCCAATTTAGTTGGGTTTGATGGCCATTTTAGGTTTGTAAATAAATGTTGTGTTATGTGGACACTTGTGGGAGATTTCGGTCTGTAGTGTACCATTTTAGATCCTTTGTTATGCGATCGTTCAAAGCTTGTAAAGTCTGTTTGTAATTTACATTGGTTATGAAGTGTTTCCTGATATGATTGCTTGTGGATCTCGAGTGAGGCGCTTTCTCTAACCCGTTTTCTCTTTTGTAGGTCCTAAGGGACCCTAGGATGTTTCGATGAGACTGACCTTTGTGGACGGACACGCAAGGGTGCCACACGACTTAGGCAAAACCAATTAAGTCCGTGACAGTATGTGTCATGGACATGATTCTATATATTTGTGCTTGCTTGTGGTTTGATACTAAGATATTGATTCAGAATCAGACATTTCAATATACAATTATTATCAAAAGGATATCAATTTCCAACTGAGTTTCCACAAGTTACAGTTTACAGAACTAGTTCGTCTGCATGGTTCGCCAATCACAGTTATGAGTCACGTAAAGTAAAAAAATTGTAACAAAAGGCATCACCTTGTGCACTGGATACAACGAGTCATCACCGTCTTCACAAGTGGCCCCAGATTCTTATCGACCACCGACCTCTTCATCTCCGTGAACCGTCCACGGTCAGCACCGAAGGCCATCGATTGGTCCTGAAGATCACATTCACCTCCTTGATCGCAGATCGGGCAGTCCAGTGGATGGTTCATCAGGAGGAACTCCATCACCCCTTCTCTGGCCTTTTTCGCAACCGGCGTGTTCGTCTTGATCTTCATCCCTATCAACCATAAAAGAACCACCAAAAGATCAAATCAATTCAGCTGAGACAAAGGATGCGAGAGACGGGAATAAGGGATCCTTGGATCCAAATGGACCTGGGAGAGCGGGCATGGCGCAGGAGGCGACGGGCTTGGGGGACTTCTCGACCTCGACGAGGCACATACGGCAGTTTCCAGCGATGGAGAGGCGGCTGTGGTAGCAGAACCGGGGGATGTCGACGCCGGCGACCTCGCAGGCCTGGAGGACGGTCATTCCCTTGGGGATCTTGACGGGGTATCCATCGACGAAGACCTCAATAGCGTCGTCAGGGTTGGGGATGTGGACCCTAGCGCCGGCAACTGGGGTCCGCGGGGGCGGGTCGGCGGCGAGTGCCGCGGAGGATTCCGGCCTGAGGACGGCCGAAGAGGAGGAGATCCATCGGAAGTGGGCGGGGGAGGGGTGGGAGAGATAGGATCGGAACAAGGGTTTGGAGCAACGGAGGGAGCGGAGGAGGAAACCCATCAACGACAGTCCTTTCTCTCGGCCTCGTTCGATCTTTCTGGAGCGGCGGCGACGAGGCGGCGGAAATGGGATGCGCGAGAGCGTGTGGTTATCGGGTGCTCGCGGTGCGTTTAAACGCCGATTGCGTGGGTGCAATGACGCCGTTGTTCGTCTGCAGATGGAGGTTAGCGGTGAGTTTACTTGCGGTGATTGAATGCGTGTTCAAATCTGGGCTATGGACTTTGGGCCATTTGGACCGCGGTCTGTGGAAGATACGAGTTTTGTTGCTTATATATATATATATATATATATATACACGCGCGCGCATATATTGCTTGCTAGTTAAATCTAAAAAAAGAACCAAATATGAACCTTAAAAACAGATTGATGGATTTGGGCCAGTAATAGAGCTGTAATGGGCCAATTTGGGCCGTAATAATTAGGAGGCTCAACCCATTTTCTCTATTCTTTTCCCGCACATGACGTTATCTTTCCTACTTCGGTCTCGTGGTCGCTCTCCGTCCAGGAGCAGCGGAAAAACCCCAGCATGCCCTGCTTCTGAACTCCTCGAAGACCCTCGGAGCACTTCGAACACCTCTTCCAATTCGATCTCCTGTGTATAACCCTACCCTGCTATCCTTCTATTTCATAGTGATTTCATCCTTAAATCTCTATCATTTACTAAAACTTTCTATTTTGGTGCGACGTAACCTCATTTCCTGAGGGTTCTTCTGTAGCTTAGGCGACATCAATTAGTGTTTTCTTTCTCTCGTTTCACTCTTTAGGCTTCTTTTGTATTTTTTTGGTCATCTCCGTTTTATGTATTTGTTTCGTTCATCGTTGTACCTCTTTAGGTTGAGACGAGATGGCGGCGAAGATAGATCATGAATGGACTGGAATTCGGCAGTTCCCCTTTGGTACGCAGAACAAATTGCATGAATTGTTAGGGAAACTAAAGCAAGAGGTCTTTGCATTCTTAAATAAATTGTATTTTAAGACAAATAATTAACTAATCCTGCTTTGTTTAATCGCGGTGTACACTTGTTATGGGAAAGGCTGGAGTTGGGAAGTCATCTACTGTGAACTCCATTTTAGGGGAGAAGGTGGCCACTGTTAGTGCTTTTCAGGTTTGATTGCTCTTGCCCTTACTTACACGTCAATTAGGTGCAGTAACATTTGCTGGCTGAATCAAAGCTATCATGATACGTTGTCAATTGATAATGTTGTTGTAGTCTGAGGGATTGAGGCCTGCGATGTGCTCTCGTACTCGGGCAGGTTTCACCCTGAATATCATAGACACTCCAGGGTTTGTGGAAGATGGATATGTAAATGAGCAGTCTCTTGAAATTTTAGAAAGGTGCGTATGTGATCATGGGTTTTTCTTGGAACTATATTTGGAGGTTAAACTTACAGTGCACCAAGCTATTTATTGAAGTTACATATGGGTTTGAAGAAAGAAATCTCAAATATAATTAAAATGCTTGTGATGATTATTTAGAGCATGTTATTTTCGAAGGCAAATGGATATATAAGGTTATGAACAATCTTGAACCATTATGACATTAATAGCATATCATGTGACATGCCAATACCTCAGGGAAACTAGTTATCTATATGGATTTTCTTTAAATGCATCTATGTAATTGTCATATTCTTTTCATTAACAGTCGAGTAGTGGATATCAAAGTAGCTACTTATGTCGCATAATGTAGTGGTCATTTCCTCTTCTTGTCATAGCACTTGATGGTGTTCTTTTCCAAAGTTTCTATTGTAATTGTCCTTCCTACTATGGGTTTCTGGAGTGTGGTTTTACTGATTAGTTATTTCCATCTCTGATAATATTTTCAGGTTTCTTTTGAACAAGACTATAGATATTCTTCTATATGTGGACTGGTTGGATGCATATAGGGTGGATAGTTTGGATAGACTGGTCATCAGAGCCATAACTGACACATTTGGCAAAAGAATATGACACAGATCTTTGGTTGTTTGAACTCATGCATAGCTGTCTCCACCAGATGGAATGAAATATGATGATTTCTTTGCTAAACGAGCAGGAGCACTTCTCACATGCATTCACTTGTGTGCTTGAATTAAGAAGCAGGAGTTTCAGGTATAAAGTATCTCTTAGGTGACTAATCTCCCTTTTCGTTTATGGATTCTTCCTCCATGCTCACTGCTTTCCGAATTTGTTGCTAAATATTATGACACAAATCCAAACTGCTTCATTGCTATTGCCATTTAAAACGTAATCTCAGAGTTGTTTACCTTATTTAGCATTTATAATTGTATAATTGTGGGTAAAGTTTTGTAAACAATGTATAATAGTGGGCAACATTTCATAAACTATCTTTCCTTTAGTTTGTCCATCTTGTGAGGTTCCTGCTCCAGTCGTGACTTCTGTTGTGCAAATGCTGGACTTTGATTTTTTTTTTTTCCCTCTTCTGTAGATTTAATGAACTTGATATCAAATTTATTTCATCTACTGAAAACAAGATTATTTTCTGGAGTTCATCCATGTACCTGGCTTCATTATATATTTTGGCTATCTTATTTGCATTAGAGTTTTTCTTTTCATCAGAATCTATGCGAGATCTAGATCAGAATATTGAGGTATCTTCTTTTCATCAGAATGTTTGTTTTTTTTAAATCTAATCAACCTTGAGTTGAATTCCATTTAATATCTCCCAACAAGTTTCTTTTCTAGATTCTCTGTATACTGAGCTGGATTAGATATTTTAGCCAAATTTTCTTTGTGGTGATCTGTTCAATATATCGGCTTTCTTTCTCAGCGAAGAGATTTCTTCATATCAGTTGTGCTCCACTCAGTAAAGAGCTCTCGAAAGTGGCCCCTTACCCTCCTTTTTTTCTCCTCCCCATGCTCTATCACTCAGGCATACACACAGACAACACGGAATTACACAGCCTGGATTGGATTCCTGAATTATGTGACTATTATTTACAGTCTGTAATGGTATAATGTCATTGTCAATTTTCATTTCAATGTCAATGATAATAACTACTTATTCCATAAGAGAAAATTCAAACACCAAATTTCCCACACATTGGGGGAATTCTTTATCATGTACTTGGCCTGTGACTGTGTTAACACTTGATGAATTCTTTACTGGGCATATCATTGTGCTGGTCGAACAAGCCCTGCACTATATTTGGCATATCATGCAGGTAGGTTGCAATCAAGCCAAGCCGAGCTCGACTAGGTTGACTTTGTAGCCTTTTGAAATACAAAGGGTTTTGGCATATGTTTGTAGATCCTTATACTGACTCCAAGATCTAGATGTCTAGGCACGAGTGACATCAGATTTGTGAACTTCACCTGTGATTATGATGCATATGGTGGTGATAATCAGGATAAATGGTGATGCGTTATGACAAAAGGTACACTTGTTATAGGGTAAGAAAGAAATGAATGATATGAAATATTTGAGAATTAGGGTGAGGGAGAGAGCAGCTTGAAGGAGGAAGAGAAAAATGATTGATTATGAGATATTGACTTGTTAAATCAAGGCCTTTGGATAAATAGATGAAAATTAGAAACAATAAAAAGAGATTTTGATTGCTCTTTGGTTTAATTAGTGATATTGCTTTACTTAAAACTCCATTGCAAGTAATGATCTTTGTAACTGACTCAACATATTTGGGACATTATGGCTTGTTATTGGTAGACAAATGGGCAAAAACACTAAGGAAAAAGAATCTTAATAAAAAATTAATAAATTTTATATGAGGACACCATATACTGCGATAACAGACCTCTGACCTATTATGTCTCAAACCTAGACCCAAACTAGACTGTTTAAACCTCAACTAGGATTGCATAATGTTGGAGCATCCTCTGTTCCAGGGAGCCCTACGGACATAAATATCTAATGTTGAGTGGGTGACTGTGCTGTTTGCTTATCCATTATTTATAATGGTATTAATTGTTAATGAGCTACAGAAAAAAATTGCTCGCAAGTTGCAATGTCAATTAGAACAAAAACTTATTTTAAAGTGTGCATCAGATTTTAAAGGACTGTCTTATGTTTTAAACGTTATTTAAAGAACTGTGAGATGTGGATAATTGGCTTTAACTTTGCTCTGACATGACATAGTCACTTGCTGACAGAATTTCATTCCTTTGCAGAAATTGAGATCTTGGGTTTTTGAAACTCTGTTGATATCTTGATGTGCTTATTGTTTTGTAACTTTCACATAGGTTTTGTCCTATGCCAGTTGTTAAATGTTGGACTAGATTATGAAAACATGTTGCTTATTTGTATTGTACCTTTCACATATGGTTTGTTCTAGTTGTTGAATGTTGGGCTAGCCTAGATCTGTGTGATGAAAACCTTTAACACATTTATTTTTCTAGGAATCTTCAATTCCTATGGTTCTGGTTGAAAACAATGGGAGGTGCAAGATGGTGTTCATTTTTTTTTTCTTCTCTCGTCTCCTTCTGTTTTGAGCCAAGATTACTTTCTAAAAATAAATAATTTGGTTTGATTTTGAACATATTCTTCCTGATGGTACTGCATGGATCGCCTATCCTGGTTGATCAAAAGTTGATCGACGGCCGAAACCAGAACGATAGGGGAAAGTTCTTCATATCTCTTATCCTAGCATTTCAGGACAGTTCTGTAGAATAAATTATTTAAACTTGATGGATGAAATTTCCTCTATAAAGTAGAAACTCATGTATTTGTGTTCCATGTTTCAGTACTTCATCGTGGTTAAAGGTATTCAACCTTCTATAAAGGCGGACATTAAGAAGGAAGCTAAGCCACTACGGGAGCTTCGCAACATGGGCTTAGAAAATCGTAAACTTTTTCTTCTTCAACATCCACGATGCTTGTTTTTGTTTTTGTTACAGCAATGTATTCCTGATGATCTCTCTAATGTATCATAAGGGTGCTTAATTGTAAATAGTTGATTAAGTAGAAGATCAGATTTATCTGGCTCAGGATGAGATGCTTGTTTATGTTTTTGTTACAGTAATGTATTCCTGATGATCTCTCTAATGTATCATAAGGGTGATTAATTGTAAATAGTTGATTAAGTGGAAGATCAGATTTATCTGGCTGAGGATGAGTTGTTGTAGCCTTTCATGGTTAGACAGTTGAACGGCTGCATAAGATGTATTTGTTTCATTTGCCTTCTTATTCCAGCACATGGAAATGCATTTTGCTTGCTTCTTTTGCCTGAATTGGTACTGCAACTTATGAAAAATTAATTCATTTTCCTACAGACTATTGTCAAAAGGAACTTCCGGTGCAATTATATCCCTTTATTTTTAGCTTCACTAGTGTTTGTAGGATAACTCTGTAGTGGGTTTTCCTCGATCTTTTCTATTGCTAAGAAAATAAAAACGCCTTTTATTTTCTTTCTTTGCCAAAGAAAATAAAAAAAGCCTTCAGGTAGTCGAAAAACTAAAATGATGTGGCCTGGGGCCCATTAGCCCAACCAATCCTGTGGGGAACTCAGCTGTGGGTTCTCCGATGGAGCCCGAGCACGACTTGGTCCCATGTGACTGATCTCTTTTGCATACCAGCCGTTGGATGCGATGCATCACACGTGGCGGCATGGAAGGCGTGGAGACCGTTGCTTGCGCTCGCTGCATACGTCACGCGCAACGAGCACCCCATGCTCCTCCTCTATATAAATTGTAACCGGAACAGAGATGTCGAGACGTTCCATTTCGGAACCCCCCTTTCTGCTAGCAGTGAAACCAGTGCTTACCCTGTTCTTCTTATTCTTATAGGCAATCTGACCTACTCCGATCTCGAATTCCAGATCGCGGCGCTTCTGTATGGCCTCCATGTCGACCGCCGACTCCGCTTCGATATCCGGACGAAAGCGGTCGTTCCACGCGGCGATCGCCTCCAACCCGACGGAATTCCGATCCGGGTTCCCTCGCCGCGACCATGTTCCCCTCTTCCCGAACATTGAACGCGTCTCTAGTGATGCATTGCTCGATGTGGCGGAGAATGAGGAGGAGGAGGGAGAGTCCACTTCTAGCTGCTTCCAGAGCGACGTCTCCCACGAATCCAAGGTGATTGGGAGCTCTGTGAGCGGGGCTCCCCTGAGTGATCTCCGTCGTATTACCCAAACCTACTCTCGGAGGATCAAGGAAGGCAGGAGTGGAAGAGATCCGAAGCGATCGAAAGTGGAGGTTAGCAAGAGAGACTCCGCTATTGGAACCGAGGTCTCTGAGATCCTCGAGGCGTTTCCTCGTGGGAATTCTAAGAAGAAAGCCCCGGCGAGTAAGGTATTGGAGAAAGAACCGGAGATTTCGGACTCCTCCTGCCTCGGTTCCATCACCGACGTGAATGGCGGCGGAACGCTCAAATCGGCGACGGACGAAGCAGCCGGGAGGTCCCAGATCTCTCGGAACTCGGTGGCGCCAATTAAGAAGCTGCGACGCGATCGGGACCTCGACTCCGATCTCGCCTGCTCCGAGCGGATACCGAACGAGGGCGAGGAGGAGGAGGAGGAGAGTTCAGAGTACTCGACGTGCAACGAGATGACCCTCTCCGAGATCGAGGAGGAGCTCTTTGGCCTTTGCAGCTCCGAGGCGTTCATCTCCGACAATAATTCCTCCTCCTCCTCCGAACTCGTCGTGTCCTCTTCTTCCTCCGACGGCTTCTCCGAGAAGACTCTCGACCGCGCCGCCCCCTCCGCCACCTTCTCCCTCTTCCTCCAGCTCGCGCGGCAGTTCTTGCCGTCGAGCTTCAGCATGGACCCCGGAACTCAATTCGAGGCTTTTGAGGAGTTCACGGTCAGTTTCAGATCCAAATTATTATTTCTGTTAATAAAATATTAAAGTAGAAAAAGTTGAGCCGTTGGATTTGGTGCAGTTGATGAGGTTTGAGGACGAGGAGGACGAGGAGAGCTATCGGAGGCTTCGAAGCCGGGAGAGGAGAGACGCGGCGGTCCACAACTACGCCGAGGAGTACAGCAACACGACGAACGACGGCGGTCTGATCCTGGAGCAACGGATCGTGATGATTAACTGGATGGTGGAGGTGAGCGATCCCTTGATATACTCGTCCCCACTTCCTCGTTATTATTGGCTGTTCATTTTCTGAGTAGTCTCCTCGTATTTGTCCTGTTGAGTTCCAGTGCTCCGCCGGAACTGGAAGAAGATCACACTTGTCCTTTTCTGATTCGTTAGTTCTGTTCGGTAGTGCAGAAAGTGCCACATGCTTTCCTCAGTGCCCTTTTTCTGTTGGCCTCGGGCTGACATCCTCATGTATATTAAAAACAACATATAAGAGAAACTCGATTTACCCGCGTACCAGTTATGCGTGTAACTGCATCCGGGGACTCATCGAATCATCTCTGTCTCAAATGTCAGGGCGGGCGGTGAAATAGGGTAGCTGTAAACATGTACGAAAATTATTTCAGAACATAATCGACGTGGATTTGAAGTTGCTATTCTGTGCTTATAAAATAACATGTTTACCTTTATTATTTTCTGAATCATATATTTGATTCAGGAAGGGTTGAAATTAACTCACGCTACTTCACCTGGCCACTGAAGGCGCTCGTGATTGGAGGATGTGACACGACAGGTGGGGTCATGAGCAGTGCATTTATGGAATTGTGTATTAGGGGCAACCAAGAGCGCCTCTCGAGCGAGGCTTAATATAGTGGAGAAGACCTTCGTTCCTTTTTCATGATTTTTCATTTCTTTTTCGTGATAAGTTCTTTGTCTTCCGTGATATTTTTTCTGTGATTTTGTGCTATTATCTATGTTCTTTCTAATTTCTTGTGCCTCTGTGGTTATACTTCTACTTGACTCATGTTCGTTGTGCATTTGTGGGTTATATATACTTAATGCTTTTAGTTCTGCTCATGCATTTGGCTTTTCTTTACCCAAGCTCCATTCATGGTCTGTTTTTATGCATTAATGCTATTTTCTATACCCAGTTGAGTTTGTTCGGTATGTTTTTTTTCATCTTTTTCTCCTCTAATTTTTAATCTTCTTTGAGCATCATGTTGTCTAACTTTAGTTCCTAACCTAACTCTAATCTGAATCATTCAATTCTCATTCTCAGGGTCACCAATCCAGACACAAAAGACACTTGCCTTTGTTCTAAGGCCGCTTTGAATGAATAGTTTAACATTAGTTCGAGCCCTATTTTGACTCAAATTTTGCTTGAACGAAGTTAAGCGAGTCGATCGCAAGATCTAATCAAGTCCAAATATTATAGTTCAGGTTCTATATGGGCGTTCATTGGATTTACATTCAATTATATTTTTTTAAGATATGAGAAAAAAAATATCATTTTACTTTCAAACTCTTAGTTGTTTAGATGGATTTTCTATTTTACCCCTTTAATGTGGTTTTATTTCGGATTTGAGTATCACGAATGGTTTTGTTGGGGAGCAGCATTCGAGTGCGATGGAGCTGCAGAGTGAGACGCTGTTCTTGGGGGTGAGCTTGATGGACCGCTTTCTGAGCAGGGGATACTTCAAGAGCGAAAAAAACCTCCAGTTGCTAGGGATAGCTTGCGTCACTCTTGCCACCCGAATCGAAGAGAACCAACCTTACAACAGGTGACTAAGCTTGTTGATTCTTTAGGTATTAACCCGTTTAGTTCTTATGCTTTCCTGTTAAGAAAATTTTGATATTGATTATAATTGATGCTACAATGAGCATCTCTAGAGTGACTTCTGGAGTCACCGGTCAGCATATGATTTTACTTTCTACCTGAATAAGTTTTATTTGCATAACAACTTTGGTTATAAATTGCTCGTCCTCTATCTCAATTTAGCTAAATATACTACTGGGAAACTAAGATGGAAACCATCTATTGGCTAGGCTAGTTTATGTGGTCAAACAATGGAGCGTAGCATTTTTCAACAGAAGAAATCACATCAGTGGAATCAAAAGATAAGATCAGAACATTAACTTAAAAATAAAACAACTGATGCAAATAGTACACATGAAATAGAATTATTGAGATTGTAAAGCCCATAGCACCTTATTCATCAACGATTTAGCATGGATTAGTTCATTGAATCCTGGTTCGGTTTTCATATAGCTGCATGATTACAGTGTCACCTGTATCTTTGTTATGGTATCAGCATACGGCAGATATCGTTCAAGGTGGGGAACAACTATTACAGCAGAGGCGAAGTTGTAGCCATGGAATGGGTGGTGCAAGATGTTCTAAGATACAAATGTTTACTTCCAACAACTCACCATTTCCTCTGGTAATCCACTCTTTTGAATGTTCCTTCTGTCCATAGCACAAATCGAGGCAATAAAACATCAGGCCTTTGATTTCCTGGGCCTGTAAATTTCTTCCAGGTTTTATCTCAAGGCAGCAAGAGCAGATGCCAATGTACAGAATCTGTCGAAATACTTGGCCGTCTTATCCCTTCTGGACCATGAAAGGCTTTCCTACTGGCCATCTAGCATAGCAGCCGGCTTGGTCATCCTTGCTTGCCTGGCCACCAACCATGATGACTCGTGCCAAATGGTTATGGAGGTAAATTCGACGTCTGCCTTGTGTGCATGCATTTATGAGTACATAACCAGAAAATGGAAATATATTCATACAAAAATCCCTGAGTTCAAATTCTGTGATACGGTTTATCAAACTTGAATTTGACTATTAACAACTTATCAGAAACTTGAATAGTTTTTGGTGAGATACTTTATGATCTTAGTTACGGAATGAAACCTTTTATCAAAAGAAACAAAAGTGGAAAGTCAACTGTGTAGAATCAACCTTGCACATTGTATTGCTTTGGTGGTTATTGTTAACTCTAGTTCTATATCTGCAGACCCATGTTAGAACAAAGAACGATGATCTACCGGAATGCATGCAGGTTCTCTCTCTCTCTCTCTCTCTCTCTCACACACACACACACACACACACATTTTTTTAACTGAATTAAGATGATTTTGAGCTTTTGTTTAACTGAACTACGTGAGTTTTTGTTTTTCAGAGCCTTCAGTGGTTGGTCAAGTACGCATGCTAAGTACAGGGTTTCTAGTAATAATGAAATTAGAACTGAGTTCATCAAAACACTAAAGGAGGTAAGTAATAAACATAGCCTTTATAGATAACACTAGATTCTTGTGCATTTTTGCTCAGCTTGGAATTCCTTCCACTAGAAATTAGTGCGCTATCAAAAGTATACAGATGAGTGCTAACAGCTACTTCGATAAACATTAATTGCTGAGTTTGTAATCGTGTTGTAATTCTACAGTAAAACACATCATCGTTTGTACCAAACTTCCAAACTTTATTTCGGTAGCAAGTTGTATTTTCCTGCTTCAAATCAATTTCATTTTTCAATTGCATAGCAACCTACATCAACAAAAGAGGCATTTAAATCAACCTCTTCAATAGTAGGTTCATATTGTTTTCGTTTAATTTGTACGACGATAAAGAGTATGACAAAGAATTCCTTCAGTTTATTCCTCGCACTCTTGACCTGTGATTTCATTTTCTTAATTCGCGAACATATGATGTCAATAAGCTATCAGATTAATTTTCATGATTCACCATAATTGGGAGAGGGAGTGTGGGTGGTGGGGAAAGGCTTAATAAGCGCCGGTCAGGTTGTCTTGAAGAGGGACCGGGGGAGCGTTGTGGGTGGATCGATTATTTGCAATCAGATCAACTATGATCTATATTTGATGATTATGAACTATATAATGGACATTACACTTTGCTCATCGGACGATGATCTTTTTCTAGTTTGAATATGATCTTATCTATAAGCACCACAATATTTGTATATTCGAGTTACGTAGGATACCGTGAAGTGATTATAGTAAGAACACTTTTAACAAATTAATTAATGAGATAGTTATAAAATTCTAAGTTCTTTTATTTCGGGTAAAATCCAAAGTATATTCTTTGTAATTGACAAAAAATTTGATCAGACACCCTAAAGAAACACCATGATAAGGCTAAATAAATGAAGCTCATGCCGTTCAAAGCATCTATAAGTTTGGCTTTTGGTTATTTAAAGATATAAAATATTTGACTCTAAATTAATTAGGATTTTATATTATTAATGTTATTAAATATGTGGTAAAAATTTGTTTGTATTTTGTCATATATTTACAGTATCTTCTCCTCGTGTGTTGAATCGAAATCCTTAATGCACTCTTCATTGTATTTATTGGATTTATGACAATATATTGACTAAAACTAATTATCAAGTTTGTCGAATATTATGTAGCTCATCGAGTATTTGAATATGGTTGAAGAATACATAGTAACTGAATGGTCAATGGTGCGAATCTGGATGAAAGATTACATATTAGAAACTACAATTTATCGAAATATTGCTTACACCTAATTGTCTTGATGAACGTTAATGTTAGCAATATCACTTGCTTTACCCATGGAGTTATAAGTAAAGACCAAAGCATGCTTCAAAAATTTTGCTAATATAAGGTGGATTAAAACTTGATTCAAGAACATAGACCTCTACGCCCGCATAGTCCTTATGTAAGCTTCTCACATCAAGCGAATCCAAAATTCAACTGAGAAATCTCTTTTGATGGGTTTCAGAGGTTTCTCCTGATAACGTTAAGTTTTAGCAAATTAAGAACACTTTTAGCAAATTAATTAACGAGATAGCTATAAAAATCTACATTCTTTTATTTTGGGGTAAAATCCAAAGTATATTCTTTAACCTAATTGACAAAAAATTTGATCAGGCACCCTAAAGAAACACCATGATAAGGCTAAATAAAGGAGGCTCGTGATATTCAAAGCATTCGTAAGTTTAGCTTTTGGTTATTTAAAGATATAAAATATTAGGCTCTAAAATAATTAGGATTTTATATTATTAATGTTATTGAATATGTGGTAAAAAGTTGTTCGTATTTTGTCATATATTTGTAGTATCTTCTCCTTGTGTGTGGAATCGAAATCCTTAATACACTCTTCATTGTATTTATTAGATTTATGATAATATATTGATTAAAACTAATCATCAAGTTTGTCGAATATTATGTAGCCTATCCAGTATTTGAATATGGTTGAAGAATACATAGTAACTGAATGGTAAATGGTATTTATTAGATTTATGACAATATATTGACCAAAACTAATCATCAAGTTTGTATAATATTATGTAGCCCATCGAATATTTGAATATGGTTGAAGAATACGTAGTAACTGAATGATCAATGGTGCAAATTTGGATAAAAGATTGTATATTAGAAATTGCAATTTGTCGAAATGTTGCTTACACCTGATTGCCTCCATGAATGTTAATGTTAGCAATATCACTTGTTTTACCCATGAAGTTATCAAGTAAAGACCAAAGCATGCTTCAAAAATTTTGCTAATATAAGATGGATTAAAACTTGATTCAAGAACATAGACCTCTACACCCGCATAGTCCTTATATAAGCTTCTCACTTCAAGTGAATCAAAAATTCAGCTGGGAAATCTCTTTTGATGATTTCATAGATTTCTTTTGATAACGTTAAGTTTTAGCAAATTAGAACACTTTTAGCAAATTAATTAACGAGATAACTATAAAAATCTACATTCTTTTGTTTTGGGGTAAAATCCAAATCCAAAGTATATTCTTTAACCTAATTGACAAAAAAATTGATAAGGTACCCTAAAGAAACACTATGGTAAGGCTAAATAAAGGAGGCTCGTGCCATTCAAAGCATCCGTAAGTTTGGCTTTTGATTATTTAAAGATGTAAAATATTAGGCTATAAATTAATTAGGATTTTATATTATTAATGTTATTGAATATGTGGCAAAAATTTATTTGTATTTTGTCATATATTTGCAGTATATTCTCCTCATGTGTGGAACGAAATCCTTAATACACTCTTTATTTTATTTATTAGATTTATGACAATATATTGACTAAAACTAATCATCAAGTTTATCAAACATTATGTAGCCTATCGAGTATTTGAATATGGTTGAAGAATACATAGTAACTGAATGGTCGATGGTATTTATTGGATTTATGATAATATATTGACTAAAACTAATCATCAAGTTTATCGAACATTATGCAACCCATCGAATATTTGAATATGGTTGAAGAATACATAGTAACTGAATGGTCAATGGTGCAAATTTGGATAAAAGATTGTATATTAGAAACTACGATTTGTTGAAATGTTGCTTACACCTAATTGCCTCGATAAATGTTAATGTTAGCAATATCACTTGCTTTACCCATGGAGTTATCAAGTAAAGACCAAAGCATGCTTAAAATTTTTTGCTAATATAAGGTGGATTAAAACTTGGTTCAAGAATATGGTCCTCTACACCGCATAGTTCTCATGCAAGCTTCTCACATCAAGCGAATCCAACATTTAACTAGGAAATTTCTTTTGATGATTTCATATGTTTCTCCATATAACGTTAAGTTTTAGCAAATTAAGAACACTTTTAGCAAATTAATTAATGAGATAGCTATAAAAATTTACATTCTTTTGTTTTAGGTAAAATGCAAAGTATATTTTTTTGACCTAATTGACAAAAAGTTTGATTAGGCACCCTAAAGAAACACCATAGTAAGGCTAAATAAAGGAGGCTTGTGCCGTTCAAAGCATCTTTGACTTTTGGTTATTTAAAAATATAAAATATTAGGCTCTAAATTAATTAGGATTTTATATTATTAATGTTATTGAATATGTGGTAAAAATTTATTCGTATTTTATCATATATTTGCAGTATCTTCTCATAGAATCAAAATCCTTAATGCACTCTTTATTATATTTATTGGATTTATGACAATATATTGACTAAAACTAATCATCAAGTTTGTCGAATATTATGTAACCAATCGAGTATTTGAATATAGTTGAAGAATACATAGTAACTGAATGGTCAATGATATTTATTGGATTTATAACAATATATTGACTAAAACTAATCATCAAGTTTGTCGAACATTACGTAGCCCATCGAATATTTGAATATGGGTGAAGAATACATAGTAACTAAATGTTCAATGGTGTAAATTTGGATAAAAGATTGCATATTAGAAACTACGATTTGTCATAATGTTGCTTACACCTAATTGCCTCGATGAATGTTAATGTTAGCAATATCACTTGCTTAACCCGTGGAGTTATCGAGGAAAGACCAAAGCATGCTTCAAAAATTTTGCTAATATAAGGTGGATTAAAACTTGGTTCAAGAACATGGACCTCTATACCCGCATAGTCCTAATGCAAGCTTCTCACATCAAACGAATCCAAAATTCAACTGGAAAATCTCTTTTGATGGGTTTCAAAGATTTCTCTTGATAACGTTAAGTTTTAGCAAATTAAGAACACTTTTAGCAAATTAATTAATGAGATAGCTATAAAAATCTACGTTCTTTTGTTTTGAGGTAAAATCCAAAGTATATTCTTTGACTTAATTGACAAAAAAATTGATCAGGTGCCCTAAAGAAACATCATGGTAAGGCTAAATAAAGGAGGCTCGTGACGATCAAAGCATCAGTAAGTTTGGCTTTTGGTTATTTAAAGATATAAAATATTAGGCTCTAAATTAATTAAGATTTTATATTATTAATGTTATTGAATATGTGATAAAAATTTATTCGTATTTTGTTATATATTTGCAGCATCTTCTCCTCGTGTGTGGAATCAAAATCCTTAATACACTCTTTATTATATTTATTAGATTTATGACAATATATTGACTAAAACTAATCATCAAGTTTGTCAAATATTTTGTAACTAATCAAGTATTTGAATATGATTGAAGAATACATAATAACTAAATGGTCAATGGTATTTATTGGATTTATGACAATGTATTAACTAAAATTAATAATCAAATTTGTTGAATATTATGTAGAATTCATAGTAAGGTCAATGTTGCGAATTTAGATAAAAGAGTGCATATTAGAAACTGCGATTTGTCGAAATATTGCTTACACCTAATTGTCAACACCTAATTGCTTACACCTAATTGCCTCGATGAATCTCGTGAAGTTATACCAAAGCATGCTTCAAAAATTTTGCTAACATAAGGTGGATTAAAATTTGGTTCAAGAACATGGACCTCTACACCCGTATAGATTCTCGTATCAAGCGAATCCAAAATTCAACTGGGAAATCAAGGTTTCAGATGTTTCTCCTCGTAACGTTAACTGATCCGGTGAACCGCCATTGCCAGGGTACTATTTCATCTCGCGCCACCGCGGTGTTCACCTTTCATTCTCTTGCCGTTCCCGGCCACGGCATCGCATCGCGTCCGTTGGATTTCCAATTTGCTCCCTCGTCCACCGTTGACGACCACATGCCTCCGCGCCTGCCATCTGACGCTAACCGGGCCGAGCCAGGCGACGCGGGTTTCCCCTGGCAGGCCCCCAGCAGATCGCTCGGCTGTCGGGACCCACCTCGCCCGCGGTCCATTTCCCCCTCCCTTCCTCCGGTTTCCCGCGGCTCATCATTTCTTTCCATCTATAAATCAGACCGCTTTCCTCCGGCTCCAACTATATTAATCTCTCCCTCCCTCCTCGCCCCATCTCCATAGCCCCTCCCCCTCTTCTTCTGGAGATGAAACATGGTAATCCCTACAACTTCTATCGCAAATTACGTACTGTTTTAAGCAATATCTCGTACAATCTTGATCGCCATAGAGATCTCGGTTTCTGGATCTCGACAACAAGGGTTGCGCGGCGAACCAGACGAGCGAAGCCGAGCACGAGGGGAGGAGGCGGAGAGGGCAAAACCAGAGGCCGGCATGGCTGGAGCAGCTCTTGAGCACCGACTTCTTCGGGCCGTGCGAGGCCCACAAGGACATAAAGAAGAGCGAGATCAACATCTACTGCGTCGACTGCCGCTGCAGCATGTGCGCCAACTGCCTCTCCCTGCCGTCCTCCCCTCACCGCCGCCACCGCCGCCTCCAGATCCGCCGCTACGTCTACCAGGACGTCGTCCGCGTCCTTGACATCCATAAACTTCTCGATTGCTCCAAAGTCCAGGTATCATCATCATCTCGATTCTTATCAAATCTCAAATCAATCGCGGCATGGAATCTTCGAGAAAAATAAAAATGTATATATACCATATATAATAATCTTTTGCTATAAATTTGACAGTCTTATACGGTGAACAGTGCCAAGGTGTTATTCCTCCACCCCCGGAATCAATCGAAGTCGTCCAAACCCAACCCCGGCAGCCCTCTTTGCAACATGTGCAGTCGCTCCGTTGCCGAGCCTAATCGCTACTGCTCCGTCGCCTGTAAGGTATGTGTAGGTGACCCTTAAATCACACAGTCGCCGTCCGACCCATACTTAGCAATTATATGCCTCCAGGTGTTCGACGATTCCAAGGACGCATCCACCGCCCCTGTTGATGAGTGCGACCGATCAGAGCCGTGCTTACCACATCTGACGTCTGACTTCGAGGACGAGCCCGATGCTGAAGCGTCCGACGCGAGCCAGGATGGGAGTCCCGACTCGCCTCGCCCCGGTTGGAGGACACGTGTCAGGAAAGGAGTTCCCCAAAGGTCGCCATTCTTCTAATTGAATCCAACCTACTTACCATTTGTTTAGCCGTCGAATCAATAAATGCTTAGTAAATAAATAGCTAATTAAACGCATATCATCATTCCATTTCTGTTATATCTGTGCTTATATTTGGAGTATTTTTTTTCTGACTTATCAAATTAGAAATCCAGATGATGAAAACATGATGGTGGAATCAAAATTGGATGTAGATATCTCTTATGTTTCATAAGATTTTGAGAAATCGATCGATCTTGAATACACTCTTTTATTGCAGATCGAGCATAAAAGCTGTTTTTTGTGAATTCTCTGATGAATTTAGCAGGTATTTCACATGAAAGTGAAGTCCTTGATTAGGAACACTCAATTAAGTCTACTAAGTGGGGATCACAAACATCATTATGATGTTTAAGCATCTATTAGCATAGGAATCATGATCCATGTGGAGCAATGGTACGTAATGATTATGATCAAAGCATGCTTTGAAGAGAGTGATATGTGATTTGTTGGACCCATAAGTATCCTCTCTCTTTATATATGAAACTTACCGCTTGTGAAATAATACATTTTATATGTTATCCTCATTCTTTCTATTGTATTACACAAGTGTTGCATGTTTTATATCCATCTTTATTAAACTCTAGTTAATAGGTAATTGGTTAAACTAGTGGAAGAGGATATATATAGTATCTTAAAGATAATATATATAATAAAAATATTTTTTAAACAGAAACATAAGAGGATAATAATCAAAGAAAATGATAGTCTTGAGGATAAAAAAATAGTAAATATAATAATAAGATTCAAATTCAACAACAATAACAAGATATCAAATCCCAATTATTTGGGGTTGATTATATGTATCTTTTGTTCTGTTAAGTTAAAATTATTTATATTTATATTTATATTTTTTATTAAATTTTTTTAGATATTATTCTATTTGTATCATTAGCGTTAATCATTCCACATCTCTTAACTATCTCATACGTCTCCTAATAAAAATCTTTATCATTAACGTTAAGCATTGATCCAAGTGCTTGGATCCCTCTCAGTTGCCACTTCTTCCCTTCAGCGAAAGCTAAAAAGGGGGCTCAAAATGTCGATGGAGCATAGCACCATTCGATGCCTCCAGCGTCAACCCGCAGCGCTTCCTCAACGAAGCCCTCAAAACCATCGACGATACGGTCGACGGAGCCTCGTTAGATGTCATTGGTACCTGAAAAGTAGAAACATCATTGCCATATGTTGGATGTGTCGACTCGTGCTGTATGTGATTGATTTCATACATAGCATTAGATCTCCCAATGATAAGAACAAAACCATAAAACTTGGGATGGAGGAGGTCATCTCAAACTGGCTCATCAGTGGGCAGCAGTGTTGGAGCTGCATGCACTCATATATACTGCCACAAATTAGCAAAAGGTAGCTACACTAAACATAAGAATAAACCATAAAATTCTCTTAAACAACAAGCTGACCACTGGGAACTTTGGTGATTGCAACTACGACATCTAGCTTTTTCTGCAACGAACATGCATCAAGATGTTAAATCATGTGTTCCTTAGAAATGCTTACTATTTCTTAAATGTCATTGCCAGCCCTTTTTTTTTTCTTCTTTTTTTTGCATCGACAAGAATTTGATGACATGTAGTACACATAAATTAGACACAACATGATATTATAAGGTAATGTTTAACATTTATTTCAAAATGGTAGAATCCAGTATTATGTGTTCCTTCAAATGCTTACAATTTCTTAAATATCTTCAAGCCTTGTAGATGAAATGCCTGCAAAAACATGTGAATGAATGTCTCCCATCCTTTTCATCCTTTAATAATTTGTTTAAGAAAGAGGAATTTTACCATTGTCAGGAACCATCTGTTTGTCACTGCTCAAACTGTGCTTCTTCCAAACCTTTTCTTGTTTCATGTTTTCCAATCTATTGCTCTCTAGTTCTGCCACTTTCTGATGCAGCTTCGTGGCTGATTCTGCTAACTCTGAAACAACAGAAGATTCAGTGTCAAGATATAATACAATAAAAAGGCAAGAAAAACAAAAGCAGCGTGAAACAGATCATATAAATACGTGGTCGTGTCGGGTGTTCCATCGTTTTACATTATATGCTAATTTGTTGAAGTTAGTTAAAATCAAGGTATACAATTTCGTACTTGAGATTTTGATGTTCGTTTGGTATATCGCTTAGTATATATATATATATATATATACTTATTTATTTAATTTTTTTATATATATAAAAGGCGACGACGATATCGTCTCGTATATATATATATATATATATATATATATATATATATATATATATATATCGTTCCATCCGATAATGAGCAGTCCGTGTACCGGTAAACTGACAAACCAATACGTATCGCTCGTATCGGACGGTATTATTCGAAATTGCTTGGTTAAAACAATATAAGAACGAAGACAGTACTTCTCCCACTTGCTCATTCGCTTATCCTGAACAGTTCGAATAAGTGATGAAGGGAAGATACACCCTATCAGAAATAAGAAAAACAACAATTATCATTGTGTTAGTGTTAGGATCCTTTTATTTTTTGAGTTTTAAATAATAGTTTATTAAATTTATTTAGTTCAATAAAAGTTGGATATAAGTTTATTTGATATTTATTATTATTAAGAGTCCAAGCGGATTTTAGATAGAACTACTAGGGATATATCTATTTATTTTTAATGAAATATTAGTCGGTTTTTGACAGAGGTTAATTTTCTCGAAATAATCAAGGAGATCGATCCTCTCAAAGTAATCATCCTCTTTTCTCCCTTTTCTTTTATGATAAAACCTTAGGGTCTTATTGGTAGGAAAACTATAGATGTGTGATCAGTAACATATCTATATTAGTTATCAGTTAATAAAAAAAATATCAATAATCAAATTCCATGGTACTATGAGAGACAAAACTCTGAAGTAGATGGGAAATAGATTTGAACGAACAACAATTGCCTCACTGAAAAACTTGTCACATTGATTTGAGAACCTCAGCCGGATTTGATGTATTATCTTGCTTTCTTAACTAATGATGATTCCCAAATCCTATAGATGTGTGATCAATAACATATCTATATTAGTTATCAGTTAATAAAAAGAATGTCAATAATCAAGCTTCCATGATACTATGAGAGACAAAACTCTGAAGTAGATGGGAAATAGATATGAACGAACAACATTTACCTCACTGAAAAACTTGTCACATTGATTTGAGAACCTCAGCCGGATTTGATGTATGATCTTG